CCTCTAAGAGGGCCCACGAGGGCGATAAGAGGACCGCTTACAGGGTCCGAAGAAGCGCAAAACCATAAGTCTCCTTTGGGCATTTGAATGCTGGTCGCAATCTCGTCTGTTCGGTCTGCCGTCAGCTCACGACGGCCCACGAGGACTCCACGATGGCCAAAGAGGCATCCAAGACAATCCAAAAGACGGCCCAAGAAGGCCGCCCGTGGGACCCAAGACGGCCTTAGAAGGCCCAGTCCAAGACAGCGGCAAGACGGTCCTACGACTCCCCCCAGACACCCACCATACAACCACGAGGGCCTCAATACGGCCCAACAGAACCCCAAGTCAGCGAAAGAGGGCTCCCGCTCAAGGGAGCCCGACGGACCCACAGACTCCCTCACAAGAGACCAAGGCAGCCCCAACACGGCCAGCACGAGTTTCAGCATCTGCATCACCATCACCACCATCAACAACAACAGCATCATCATCAGCATCCTCGTCCTCCTCATCATCATCAGCAGACTCATCATCATCATGACCATCATCAACATTATCAGCATCCTCATCATCAACAGCATCATCAGCCTCATCATCATCAACAGTATAAGCAGCATCAACATCGACATCGTCATCGTCATCATCATCAGCATCAGCATCAACATCTTTAACAGCAACATTATCATCATCATAATCGATATCTCCGATATTCTCATCATCAGCATCACCATCATCATCATCGTCATCGGCATCAGCATCAGCATCATCATCATCACCATCACCATCAAAACTCACCATCACCATCACCGTCGTCGGCCACCGATCATCGATCCTCGTCATCAACACCAACACCATCATCGATCTCCATCATCACCACCACCGCCACCATCACCATCACCACCATCGTCAGCACCACCATCATCAGCATCATCAGCATCATCATCATCAGCATCACCATCATCATCATCATCATCATCATCATCATCATCATCACCATCACCACCACCACCATCACCGTCGTCGGCCACCGACCATCGACCCTCGTCATCAACACCAACACCATCATCGATCTCCATCGTCATAATCATCATCATCAGCATCACCATCATCATCACCATTAGCAGCATCCTCACCATCACAATCACCATCACCATCACCATCACCATCACCGTCGTCGGCCACCGATCATCGATCCTCGTCATCAACACCAACACCATCATCGATCTCCATCATCATCAGCACCGCCACCATCACCATCACCACCATCGTCACCACCACCATCATCATCACCATCATCATCATCACCACCATCATCATCATCATCAGCAGCAGCATCAGCACTAGCATCACCACCATCATCCTCGTCGTCTTCATCATCCCAAGCATCCTCATAGTCTTCATCACCACAATCACGGCTCTTACAAGCCTGGAAACACGAGGTGTCACACGTGACAGCCCTCAGAGCACCCTCGATCAGTCGCCACCCAGAATGCTGGGCTGGCACTGTGGGACTTGCCGCAAGCAACTGGATAGTTTGATACTGTCATGCGGGGCCTCAGGCCCGAGAACCTGGATGTATGAGGTAGTGCGGATGTTGCTTCGCAACTGTTCGGATTCCGATTCCGATTCTTCTCTCGACATGCCCCTCTCCCTACCTGTCCTCCTCCTCATTCTCCCAACCTCCCTCCCCTCCGCCTCGTTCGGGAGGGCGGCCGATGTCTCAACTGGCCCTCCTCTGACTGGCATTCCTTTGACAGTGAGGGCGGGAGGGGCCAAATCGAATCGGATCGGAATGAAGGCGCATCGTCAGCCTGTACAACAGCACATGGCATGCAACGCACTATGCGAAAAACTCGCGCACCAAAAAGGGGAAGACAAAGGCAGGACAAATGGAAATAATCAAGCAGGCGGCAGGCGGGCGGGATAGAGAGGGGGCGTTCCTTCCATCCCTCTGCCTGGAACACTCGTGCACCAAGAAGGAGAAGACAAAGACAGGACAAATGGAAAGAATCAAGCAGGCGGCAGGCGGGCGGGAGGGATGAGGGGAGGAGGTAGAGAGGGGGCGTTCCTTCCATCCCTCTGCCCTTCCCCCACGGATCTAGAAGGGTTCTTTGTCATCCAGACAACTAGGGTGGGCAACATCGATCTCTGGGGAGAATGGTTGCCGCCTCGCCGGGGGTCCCCAAGGCGCCCCCGAACACGGAGGGTCTCCTTAAACAAGCCAATGTTCAGAGGCTTGGAGACTAGCACCCACGACAGGAAGATGATCCTAGATGTCAGTGCTGGTGGTAATCTTTCGGCCACCTGTAAGACCGAATACTGCCACCATCACCGAGATTGGGATAATCTTTTCTCGCCGGATGCACCCCGATGTCTGAGTTGGTGCCGCCCTCTAGAGCTCCGAGGCGAACTCTGGACAACACGACTTGTTCACCTCGACAGGGCTTCTTCGAGATCCACTCCAACCGAGGAACTTTGGCCTTTACAGATTTGCATGCTTCGGCTTGCTGTGGCTTCGCTGGGCGCGCTCCAGACATCGGGGGGCGGAAGGCCAAGACCTCTGGAAAGGAGGCGGAGACCACGAGTGCCACATTCGAATTCTGCTTCCGCTCCGCACCCCGCCGCCAGTCGAGAACTCGAGGGGCGGAAGGGGAGGAGATGGAGGACAAGGAACCGGGAGATCGAACACGAGGGGGAGGGGCCACATGTGAGCACCAAGTCATGTGATCGACCACGGCGGCTCAGCATCGAGACGCCCCAACATCCCGAATTGAAGGACGCCGCTCGCCGGGACGTCGTGCTGGCGCATCGGCCGATCCTTCTGCAGATGGCGCTGGTGGTGATGGTTTTGTTGCTGCCGCTGCTGCTGCTGCTGCTGCTGCTGCGCCCCCCCACCCCTCCTCCTCCTCCTCCTCCTCCCTCCTCCTCCTCCTCCTCCTCTGCTCCTCCTGCTCCTCCTCCTCCTCCTCCTCCCCCTCCTCCCCCTCCTCCCCCTCCCCCTCCTCCTTCTCCTCCTCCTCCTCCTCCTCCTCCTCCTCCTCCTCCTCCTCCTCATCCTGACCCCCGCTTCGGTCCAACCTGCCCCGTCGACCCTCCGGGCCCGCGCCCGAAGAAGGCGAGAGGGGAAGGCCTAACGATCAACAACAACTTTACATTTTTGTGCTGGGAAGACAAGTTCGGGGGCGCGCAAACATGGATTACCGATCCATGGATTTGGTGCGCGGTCGCCTAATCCATGGATCGGGGGAGGTGCCCTCACCAAAAATGCGGCCGGTGCCGCCTCGTTCGGCGGCGGAAATGCGCGATTTCCAATGAAAACGGGACCGGTCGCTAATCCACGCCCACTTGATCCATGTTTGCGATCGCCTGACAAATTATTTTATTCAACCGTCGCCCCCGCACTGCTGCGTTACGGCCCCCATAGGGAGATTTCTTAACCGCCCAATCCTGCAGGAGGCCGGATGCTCACGCAGGATGTGCCAGGGCCGACTCTGCGAGGCGGGGATGTATCAATAATTATCCACTGCATGGATAACCGCTGTCCTGGGACCCCATTGGGGGAGTGGACATGCATATCCTTGGGTCCATGGGGTCCTTAATCTATAATCTAGGGTCCCCCCTCCCATGGGGTATGGTGCACCCCCCCATTACTCTGGATGGGGTATCATACAGGGGGGGATTAACCTTCCAACTGAGCTTGCCCAATCCCGCCCCCTCCGTCCTCCTCCCCCTCCTCATCCTCCTCCTCTTCCTCCGACCCCCCCTCCACCCGTGCCCACAGCACGTGCCCAACCCCCCCAGCGGATTCAAGGGAGGAGCGATTATTGTCCCATCCAGACTATGGATCCTCCCCCCTGTAGTGGTGTGGTGTGGTAGTGTAAGGTGGGCGTGCGTGCTTGCGTGCCAGTGTGCGCGTGTGGTGTCCCCCCCGCCATGTGGGTGCGGTGTGGTGCTGTGGTTGCCTCAGGGAGCGGAAGGTATGCAATCTTGCAGCGCTAGGGATCTTGGTTTCCAGGAGAGGTCCAGAGGTGGGCGTCGTCGTCCGCGTCGTCGCCGACAACGACGACAAAGATCACAACCCTCGGCGTCGTCTTTGGCGTCGTCGTCGACGTCATCTCAACGTTGTAGTCGTGGTCGTCGTCGTTGTCGTCGTCTTGGTCGTGGTGGTGGTGGTTGTCGTCGTGGTCGCTGTCCTCGTGGTCATCGTCCTGGCGGTGGTCGTTGTCGTCGGCGTCGTGCCCTCCCCGACCCATTCCATCTGGGGGGAAGGGGGACGTGGTCACCCGACACTCTGGATAGCATGTCCACATCCACCGCCCGCCGTCGAGGTCCCCGAAGATCCCATCCAGGCGGTGGGTATGTACACATTCCCACCTCGGAGCCTCTGCACTCAACCTCCGTGGAGCGGCAGCCTCAGCGCACACGTCCTCCCGTCTCCTCTCCGCCCCCCCCGCGGAGCTCCGCTCGGATCCGCCGCCCTCTCGGAGCCGACGCCCTCCGACGACCTACCAGACCACCCCCCAACCCAACCCGAAGATTCACATGTCGGGTTTGGGGGGGGAGGCGGCACGCGTTCCACATGTGTTTTTTCAGTGTTGCCTGATCTGTTCTGTCCCCCCGCTCTTGCACGCTGGCCAATTCGCCATTCGGTTGCCCCGGATCGCAACTCGCTGGTGCGGACCGCCTCCGCCTCGCCGCCGACGGAACAAGTGTTGTTTCAACGTTCCCCGACGCCCCCCCCACCAGGAATGGAGGGCACAGTGGGGCCTTCGGGTGGGCTGGAGACAGTTTGGTGGGTGGCGACCCTCTGGACTTCGGTCGAGCATGTGCTCCTACAGGCGGGTCTTGGAAGGAACATCAAAACATAGTCAAACAGAAATTCAAACATAGTTCTACAAAAGAATCAAACAATTGCCCCCAGACTACTCTTCGACCATTCCTGGATCTTCCCCCCGCAGAGCGACGCGCCCACTCGACTCCACAAACCCCTGGCACGCCACCGGGGGGGCCGCGGCGCGCGCCTCGCTCTCCGTGCAGCCGGACCCAGCCGTCGACGGTGAGCTCTGCGGCCCACACGTTGCCGCCCCGGGACTTCGACCCCACCTGCAGGCTGGGGCGCCACACGGCCGAGGCGCACTGGATGTGGGTAGACATCGAGCCTCTGGGGGGGCGGATGTCTCCCTATCTAGTGCGCCTCGGGTTTCTGGGGTAGGGAGCCCGAAACCCCATGCTGCAGCGTGCATGCGCAGAATGATTGCCCGCAGGGCAAGCTTGACGGGGCACGTCGACGAGCAAGCTTGACGGTAGCTGGGACTACCTGGGGGGGGTGGCTGTCTGTGTGCAGCCCGAGGCCTCACCAGCGGAGCATACAGTCGAACCTAAGACAGAAGGACAGCCTTCAAAGACATGAGACCCGCCGCCGGCCAAAATGAGGGGCATTCGAGGGTACCCTCCCCCAGGATGCACAATAACATCCAACAACAAAAGTTGCCTTGGAAACTCGCAAGCGGAAGAATCTGTATGCATACCCGCCAGCAAGATGAAAAGTCGCGCGCGCGTAGTCAGCGCCCCCACGCACGCGATCCCAAGACGCCCCATGGCCACCAGATGCTTCCAGGAGGGCCTCAGGCAACGGACGATAACGTCCAGGCGACCCCAGGATGATGCCACCCCAACACGATCCCGCCATGGATTCTGGATCGTCTCAGGCCGACTCGCAGATGACGAAACACATGAGCAACGTGTTTTTTTGTTTTTCTCGCGCGCGGTGTGCCCCTGGGGGCAGGTCGGCGGGCGCCCCCGGCCGCCGCGGCGCCCCCGATACTGGGCTCTGCGGAGGTGCGGCCGGGACAGAAACAGAAACGGCGCCGCGGCCGCCGCGTCTTCACGCGGCAAGCCCCGCGGGCGTGGAAAAAACCTTCCTGAAACCTTCCTAAAACCTTCCTCAGGAACGTTTTTGGAAGGTTTTGTTTCACAAACCTTCCTGAAACCTTCCTAAGACCTTCCCCAAAAAGGTTTTTGGAAGGTTTTTGGACAAAAAAACTTCCTGAAACCTTCCTAAAACCTTCCCTGGGAAGGTCTTTGTAAGGTTTTGTTGGAAGAACCTTCCTGGAACCTTCCTAAAACCTTCCTCAGGAAGGTTTTTGGAAGGTTTTTGGGGAAACCTTCCTGAAACCTTCCTGAAACCTTCCTCCTGAAACCTTCCAGAAACCTTCCTCAGGAAGGTTGTTTGAAGGTTTTTTTTGTTGGGAAAACCTTCCTGAAACCTCCCTAAAACCTTCCCCAGGAAGGTTTTTGGAAGGTTTTTGGGAAACAAACCTTCCTGAAACCTGTCTAAAACCTTCCTCAGGGAGGTGGTTGGAAGCTTTTTGGAGAAAAGACGTCCTGAAACCTTCCTAAAACCTTCCTTTGGAAGGTGTTTGGAAGGCTTTCGGGAAAAAACCTTCCTGAAACCTTCCTAAAACCTTCCTCTGGGAGCTTTCTGGAAGGTTTTTGGAAAAACCTTCCTGAAACCTTCCTAAAACATTCCTCAGGAAGGTTTTTTGTGGAAGGTTTTTTTTTGTTGGAAAAACCTTCCTGAAACCTTCCTAAGACCTTCCCCAGGAAGGTTTTGGAAGGTTTTTGGAAAAACCTTCCTGAAATTGTCCTAAAACCTTCCTCAGGAAGGTTTCAGGAGGGTTTGGCCGAACTGCCGCACCCAACTGCCAAAGTGCCAGAGAGGCTTCAAGGACACCAAACATTGATTCAATACTGCCCAAGAGGCCACAAAGACGTTCCGACAGACAGGGCCCCAGAAGCATCTCCAGAAGAACTTGTGACGTCTAAAACCCAGATAGCGGAGCAGACCGAAGCGCGTGAAACGCCTGTGAGAGACGCTTGCAAGGACGCTTGGAAGGATGTGTGCGGAGATTGCAAGCTCGAGGAAAAAGCTTCGCCGGAGCTCCCAAATAGCTTCGAAGGAGCTGCGAGAAAACGCTTCGCAGAAACGTAGTGGGCACGAGTAGGAAAACGCATCCTCGGGACACGCTGGAAGATCAAGCATACTGCTGCGGCGCTGCTCGACCGCCGCCAGAAACAACTCCTGGGCTACCCTGCGCTGACGGTTTCTAATATGAGACCCCTTTAGCTCTCAGAGAGCTGTTCGGGAACATATCATTGGTTCCTCGTTATTCTCGCCTTCTTGGGCTTCTGACAGTCCACGACGGCCAAAGAGGCTCCCCAGACTGTCCCAAGACGGCCCCAAGACGCTTCGTGGACGAGATAAGAGGCCCACGGCCAAACAAGCCTGCAAGAGGGTCCCAAGAGGGACTCGCAGGGGTCCACGCGCAAAAAGGAGTACGACGAATAAACAACTCCACGCGAGCAGCACGATGGGAAGCGGCAAACAGCACACGCGAAATCGGAGCCCGCGCATCTCCTCTCCTGGGGCTCGGCGGACTGGCGGAAGCCTCTTGAGTAACACACTCTGGACCCACATATGAATATTGACTTGTTCTCCTTTGGGCCCACACCTAAATCACAGCCCACCCTCGTCGCACGCGGGGTTCTGAGGTCGCCCACCCTGAATTTGCTCTCTGGCGGTTTTGTTCTGCATCCAGGCGGCCAGGATGGCCTCCAAGACAGCCAAGCTGGCACCAAGACTACCCTCGATGACCCGCGATCACTCAAGAGGCTCCTAAGACGGCTTCAAGACAGCTGAAGAGGCCTGCAAGATGGCCTCAGAGGGCTCCACGAGGCCTTCCAGCTATTGATTATCCTTCGGTTTGTGAATAATTTCGGAGGTTCTCGCCTGATTTGGGCTTGCGACCACCCCAGATGGCCCAGGATGCCTCCAATACAGCTCCAAGACAAACATCAGGAGGCCCTCAAGAGGCACCCAAAAGGCCCTCAAGCGGCCCCCGCCATGCCCCCGAGAGACCCCCAAGAGGCACCCAAGAGGCCCTCACGCGGCCCCCAAGAGGCCCCCAGGAGGCCTCCACCCGAAACGCCCCGAGAGGCTCCACGATGCCCCCAAGACGTCGAAAGATGCCTCCAATATGACCCCAAAACGCCCCAAGATGCCCCTAAGAGCCGCCAGGAGGACCCCAAGAAGCCCCTATGGGCCTCTAAAAGACCCCGAGAGACATGCCCAGAGACTCCGGGAAGTATCCAAGAAGCCTCTGGTCCACAGAGGCTCCCCGAGGCATCTAAATGATGCCACGCTCCCCCGATATTTAAAGGGCAATTCTCCTGGGAATCGTTCCTGGATGGGCTGGTGGGGATAGTACCACGAAGCGCTAATACTTCAGCTTCTTCCTGCTGCGATGTTGCACAGGCAAGGTTGCACAGGCAACAAGATCAGAACTTATTTCACGAAATGGACCCTGAGTCGATTCACAGTGGATTCGCCGCTTATTTTTTGAGGCTGGCGCACTGACTGCATTGTTGATTTTTGCCACACGCTTGACACCACGCTGGAGAACGTTTTTGTTTGTTCGGCGGTCACCCAGGCTGACTGGTGGGGGGGGGGAGGGGGGAGGTGCCGACCGAAAACCTAACCCTTTCGCGCTGGGCAACCCCACGCATGCCTGCGCGCACCGATACTGCGTGCCTCCTTCAGACCTGCGCAGCCGAGGCGGTAAAGTTACCCAGGGGGGGCGGGGGGATGCGGCGGGCGGGCCCGAGAAACCAGACTGTCGCCAGGCCCTTCAACGCAGTCTCCTGCGCAGGTGGCACCGCGGCACGCGCCCCCCCCCAGTCACCCCTGCGGCGCCAGGGAGCCACGGCACTGCGCCAGCCCGCCAAAGGCCAGGGCGGGTCCAGGAGCAAGAGTGCGCGCACGCACAGGCTCCACTGCGCTTCTGCGCGCCGCTGACCTGCACCGGCCTCTGCTTGCGAACCACGCTCTCCACGAAGCACGGACGACTCTGCCAATATGTGGCCGACGAGGCCAAATTTTCGGGGTCCCAAAACCGGGTGGTGACAGACCGCGCGGTGATCTCGACATCCCAAGAGACGCCACTGCGCGGTCAGTCACCGCATGGTTTTGGGACCCTGGAGGCCCCAATCGTCCGAGGCATCCTCGGAGAACGACCCGAGTCCCACAAATGTGCGGTGACCCCGAACCTCCACTGACTCACCACGCAGTGTGTTCACCACACTACCTGGGCGCCCCCGAAAACTGTGACCCATGGTGTGCGAGCGGTGCACGCAGGGGAGAACGGGGACAGGAGGCCGACCAGGAGCAAGGCGGGGGAGGCACACGCAGGCAGGTACCTTCCTGGAGGAGAGGTCGGGCTCGGCGAAGACGGGGCACTTCGTCTCTAGCACCTCGAACGCCTCTGCGCTGGTGCGACCCTCCTACTCCCCCATTCTGCGGCTTCCTGCGAGATGAGAGTATCATCCCCATAATGCAGATGCGCATGTGCGCCCCTGGGCTCTGGGGCGGCGAACGTGACCCAGACCTCTTCGCTGGCACCTGTCATGCGCTGTTCCTCGCGAAGCAATGCGCAAGCCCTCCTCCAAGCAACGGCATGCATGTGTTGCCTCCAGCTCTTGTGTCTCAAACGACTTCCAAGAAGATCAAATAATTGATTGCTGCGCCTGGCAAGGCCGCTCAGAGGAGTAAATACGCATTCCCCCTGGCAATCCCTCTTGCCCCTACGACCGCTGGTCCCAGGATGCTTCAACGCTAACTGGAAAGCTCAGGGCCAGAAATGCTTCAACCAAGCGTGTCATTCCATTGTTTTAGGGTGCCCCCGCCGTTGAATTCATCAACAACTCCTTCTAGAATATGCGCCCCCACCCGCTCCGGACGACCTCCTGGCGGTCCAACGCGGTCTCCTGTAACGCCAAGACGACCGCAAGACGGCCCTGAACCTGCCCGAGACGCTCACAATAATGCCGCCAAATACTGGAACAGAAAGCCGAAGACGTGCCCAACCGTAGTCATGCCTAGCGCGCAAATATGCCGTAGCAACCAATGATAGAGGCGTTGGAGAGGGAGTCAGGGACCGCCCTGCGAAAGAACGCGGCGAGCAAACGAGTCAGCGCATTTGAGTCGCGCGGAACTCCGAGTGCAGCACACGCTCAGTGCAGCGCATCCACAGCCTTGCTTGTCAGCCTCGATCGCCAGACAAGTCCTCGTATTTATTTGTCCCCCTCCTCCCTCATCTCTCTTCCTCCCTTCCTTTCATCATGCTCCCTCATCACCGTTCTCCCCTCTTCCTCCTGTACCTTTCTACTTCTAACCCTCCTCGTCGTTCGTTCCTTCCCCCCCTTCCCCTCCTCCCGTTATCATCTGTTCCGTTGAAACAATCAGAACAGGACATCATCGATGCCGACACACTGGGCAATGAGAGGCCGACCCCCGACACACAACTGGAGTCCTGGCCGTGGGCAAATGACCTGCACATGCCCTGTCCAACGGGGGCGGGTCTCCCGGTTCCTCCCCCTTGCTCGTCCGCCCCCTCCTCCTCCTCCCCCTCCCCCCCTGCTCCTCCGCCCCATCCCCCTCGCCGTCTGCTCCCACTCATTCACATGTGGAGCAGGAGGAGGAGGAGGAGGCCTCCCCATTCCCGCCCAATCATTCCCACGTGGAGGTGTGGGAGGAGGAGGAGGAGGAGGAGGAGGAGGAGGAGGAGGAGGAGGAGGAGGAGGCCTACCTGTGTCCGTCCATTCATTCCCACGTGGAGGAGGAGTAGGAGGAGGAGGACGAGCAGGAGGTGGAGGAGGCCTCCCTGTTTTCGACCAGTCGTTCCCACGTCCGCACGCGCCAGGAGCAATCACGCGGGCACCTCCCCCGCCCCCCCTGCCCCCTCATCGGAGTTGCAACGATAGGTCTGCCATGGCTCGAAGTCCATTCCCCGTGCATTCGTCGGTCTCGTGCGTGCTCATTTGCCAGACGATCCAGGATGCTTCCCGATGGCCCTCGCCGAGAAAAAATGCACACGTCCGAGCGATAGTAAGTAGGGGGGGGGGACCGGCTCGGGGGGGGGGAACATCGACCTGGGCGCTAATCGACGCGAGTCGAAGCTGAATCGGCGCTATCTCATCCACTCCCCGATGCGAATCGACCCTAATCGACGCTCAAGACAAATTGAAATGGTATACCAGGCGCCCATGATTTGCTACCGAGTCAGGGGGGGGGGGCGGGAAACATCGACCTGGAATCGGCGATACGTCGCCGACTGATCGGGGATAGGCCCCCGACAGCACATCCGCGCGGACCTGGCGGGGTGAGCCACGGGCCCATTTACCAGCGATGATAGGGCGATTGGGGGTCGAAGTGCCGCCCCCCCCCGAGCACGCTCACCCCCCTCACCCTCCCACCTCCCTGGGACGCACACAGACATACTAATGCTATATGTCCTCCTCGGATGCGCGCGTTCGACTCGAACATGTAGTATACCCATATTGTGGTATATCGTTTCCCGAGCAGTGTGGCCAGAAAGCGCCCGCCACAACGCATATACTGTAAGATGTCTCAGTGCGCGCGTCGCCCCCAGGGGGGGGGAAGGGGCGACGCACACATTATTAGTATGTTGGGGTGACACCAGCTCCCCCTCCACACGTGTACATAAAGAGTACTTCTCTCTCTGTCCCTCGACCCTGTGCGAAAGATTTCCCGCCCTCTCCGCGAACTGTGAATTCACACTCTGGATTTCAAGATGTGGTTCTTCCTTGTGCTTTGGTGTTTACATTCTGAAAATCAATAGATGTCTCTTCCTTGCGTTTTGGTGTTGCACTCCGATTGTTTCCGGCGTTACAACACGATGCTCCCGCTGCAGCACGAGCCTCATTTTCGGATCGGCGCTTTGCTCCCGTCGTTCAGAATTGCGCTCCCTCCCCAGCGTGGGTCACTGTTCTGGATCCGAATCATCTTTCATCGTTGTCGCCCACCCCATTTCCCCTCCTCCGTCTTCGCCTGGTCCTCCTGCTCCTCCCGCCCGCTCCTTCCACTCCAATTCCTGCTGCTGCTGTTCGTCCTCGTCCTCCTCCCTTCCATATCCTCCTCTTGCTCCCCCACTACCGTATGCTCCTCCTATGTACGCAACTCCCCCTTTCCGATAACGCATAACGCGATAGGATCCGTCACGGTGCCCCCTTGCACGTTGAGGCGTGGTAGAATGCCAAGTGCTGCCTGGTAGGTTTCTGTAATCTGCAAAGGACCCCCCCCTTCCGGGCCGCACCTCGTCGCGCGCACCACCCCCTCTGCCCAAGGCTGTGTCGGCGCCAAGACACGTCCTGGGCGCTCCCCGATGCTTCCAAAATCTCCAAGATGGCTTTCTAGGTGGACCTGGGAGGACACCAAGGCCGCCAAGATGGTCCAATATGCCTCCAAGACAGCTGGAGATATCCTCAGGAAGCAGGGAGAGCGCTCCTAGAGGACCCCCACGAGGGCCCCAAGAGGCAAACAGTAGTGCTTATCATTGTGTTGTTCTATGTTTTTCACGTTATGCTCTTTTCAAGCTCCAGACGCTCCAAGACGACCTAAGGGGACCCCAAGGCAGCCCCAAGATGACCTCAGAGGCTCCCAAGCTGACCCCTAGACTGCCCAAGAGAGCCGCCAAACGTCCCATGCAACGCGCAAATCAGCCCAAAAGAGCTCCAAAACGGCTGCAAGCGGAAGAACACGAACCGACAATTCCAGCCTTCTGTGATGGGCCTGTTTTCCACCACCACCACCATAACTTGGAGGGGGAGGGGGTCCTCCTCCTCCTTCTCCCCCTCCTCCTCCCCCTCCTCCTCCTCCTCCTCCTCCTCCTCCTTCTCCTCCTCCTCCTCCTCCTCCTCCTCCTCCTCTTCCTCCTCTTCCTCTTTCTCGTCGTACTCCTCCTTCCCTCCGCGGAGCCCCCCCCCGCCCTGCGCCTCGAGGCCGGCGCCCGCTCGACGACGCCTCTCGAGAGCCAGCAGGAAGTGGAGGGTCCGAACCCGGGAGAGCGATAAGGAAGAAACCGGTGATGCCAGATCCGCTCCAAATCAACTTGAAGGGGCCCTGGGACACACGTAAATACACACAAATTGCAGGATTCGCCGTATTTGCTTATATTTTCTGGGTTTTTGTCGTCCCCCCCACTTCCCATATTTTCCAATATTTTCTGGGACTTGACGATTAATTGTGTCTGTGTTTTTTCCCCTCCAACTTATTTCTGAACCCCACCCGGGCTCCCTCTGGTGCAGCTGTTCACCCGCGATCCGTCTTTGACGGCCCCAGGCCCGAAGACGGCCCCTACGGTTAGGTCGGGCACGTCCTCCTACAGGCGGATGTTGGAAGGACAAATGCAACAGAGCCGAAACATACTCAAGAATAGACCAGAGAGCACGAATCATCGTCCCCAGATCATTGTTCTACTATTCTTGCATATTCCTGCTGTAGAGGGACATGCCCGACTTGAGCCCATGGGAGAGGCAAACAACAACTCCTCGAACCCAGCACCTCAGACCCCGCTCCCCCCCTCCCTACTGGCCGAACTGGTGCTGGGCCACCTCGGACCTCCTGTCGACCCCAAGGTGGGAGGGAGGGGCAGGATGTCAGATGTGGCGCGAGCGCACCTCGCTTGTCGATGACGCGTCGGCGATACATCGGGCGACGTGAGCTTGGAGAAGATCGGCCTCCGCATCGAGCCGCATCGCCGATGCATCGGCGATGCGGCGCGATCCTACGACCCCGTCTGCTCCGACCCCACCTGGGAGGCCCAGAGCTGTGGCACGCACCCAGGTCTTCCACCGCCCTCCGCCCCTCCTCCCCCATCGGGCCCGCCGGCTCGCGCTGCACGCCGGGGCCTGCTTCGAGAAGCCCAGCGCGCCGTCCTCGCCGCCGCTCCCGCTCACCGAGGGGGGCCCGCCCCATCCCCCCCCTAGCCTTTGCGGGCGTCGGCGGGCGAGGGGCCGCGGAACCTCCAGACCTCGGTGGCCCTTGGAAACGACAGGGCTTTTTGTGATACATTCGTTCCCACGCCGTTATTTTTCCAGCTCCGTCGCCGCTGTTTTTCCAGATCGGGCTATGGCTTCAATCCCGGAGCCGGATTTTGTTCCGCGTCGGCGAACCGTCTTTTACCGGTTTCATTCTCAAGATCACGATTCCTGCCGGTTCCGAGAGCACCGCAAAGGCGACCTAGAGGCCTCCTAGATCAGGTCCGAGCAGATGGTGTCGGATGATCGCACCGCATCGCCGATGCTTCGGCGATGCATTGGGCGACGTCGGCGTGGAGGAAACGGGGCTCCACATCGAGTCGCATCGCTCAAGCATCGGCGATGCAGCGCGATCCTCCGACCCCACCGGGGAGGCCCAGACGGTCGCGGCGGCGGCTTCTCCTCACCCCGGGGCCTCTTGAAGAGCCCGCTGTCTGGGGGCCCCGAGAGCAAGAGGGGAGCGAGAGCGGCCCGCGGGGCGGCACCTGCCCCCGCGGAGGGCTGCGGCGCCCACGCCGCGGCGAGAGCACCCTCTGACCGGCACGGAGGGGCCCCGTGCGGCACGGCAGACGGCAGACGACGGGCGGCAGACGAGGGACGGCAGGAGGGGTGCGCGAGGGAGGGGAGGGGGAAGGGAGGGGGGGGGAGGGGGGAGGGCCCGGGGGGGCGCCCGAGCGCGCGGCGCCGGCCCCGCTCAGCCCAGGGGGGAGGGGCCCGCCCGCGTCGCGACGAGAGCACGGGGGGCTGCCTCGTTTCAGTGTTGGTGCCTTGTTGGCTCCGTGGCCCTGCTTCGACGAGCTACGCTCACTGGCCTGGCAGCGCACTCGAGGTCACCCCGTGGCCCCCCTTGTGACCCACGCAGCTGCGGAGGGGAAGGGGGGGTGGCATAGCGGTGCAATACGAGGCATGCAGGTGCGGAGGGAGGAAACCCACGCTTCGCCCTCGTGGCTCCGCGTTGGCGGGGCCGTCTTGGAGCCTCCTGGGGAGACGTCGGGGCTTCCTGGGGGGGGGGCACCTCGGGTCCAACATGCGCCATCGATGCCTTCAGCTTTTGCAGCCTGCGCCTGCAACGACCTTCATGTCTTGTCGCAACCATCCAACACGAATCGGAGCCTCCAAACATAGCCGCTGCCTACCGCTGGTTCCCGTGCCCCCCGCCCTTCGCGAGCCCTATGGGCGGCCTCCTTGGTCCTACTCCTGCTCCTGCTCCTCCTCCTCCTCCTGCTCCTCCTCATCCTCCTCCTCCTCTCCTGCTGCTGCTGCCTCCCTCCTGCTGCCCACGCTCCAGTCGAATATCCCTCCTTCTGCGCCTTCCTCCCCTCATCCTCCCCAAGGTTCACTGCTGAGCCTGCCCGTTTGGCGTCTCAACCGATTCGGCCGTGGAACCCGGCCCGCTCGGCCAACGAGCGGGCTCGATCTCGGGTCCGCTCCGCGGCCGAGTAGACTCAAGTCCTGGACCCTCCATGTGATCCTTCACGATGCTGGCAACAGAACTCTCCACCCCATCCCTCGGGCCGTTCTCTCGCGCGGGCAACTGTCTACGGGTCCACTGACCAAAGAGCGTCACGGCATGTCAAAATTAGCGGAACGGTTGTCCCCACGATGCTGTGTTCGACCCGCTGGAGGTCTGGGAAAGAGCCCAAGGGATGGCGCTACCCTGCTACAACGCTTGCCTTCCAAGACCACCGAGCACATGTTGACGTACGCCACAAGCAATCGAAATGTTTCGAAATCATCCAGAGGCAGGTCAGGCAGCCGCCAGACTCCGCGCACACACAACAGCAGAGAAGCGCTCCGGCGGCGGGCGAGACACGAAACCCATGCAGACATATATTCATCGGGGACATGAGATCAAACCTCCAAACTCTTTCGAGCACCCAATACCTCCGACGGCGTCACATTTACTTGTGGCATGGGCGCCAGAACGCTCTCGTCCCAATCCCGGAGACAATTCTTTTGTCCGCGGTGGCGTTTCCATGGCCATGGGCCCCCCAAAAGCACAAGTTTGCAAGACACCTGACGTCTTGATTCGTTCGTCAATCCAGAAGGTACGTCGGGGGCGCGCAAACATTGATTAGCGATCCATGGATTAGGCGCGCGGTCGCCAAATCCATGGATCGGGGAAAATGCCCTCCCAAAAACGCGGCTGGTGCCGCCTCCTTCGGCGGCGGGAATACGCGATTTCCCGTGGAAACGGAACCCGTCGCTAATCCACGCCCCGTGAATCCATGTTTGCGATCGCCTGAGATTGTTCGTCAATCCAGAAGGTATGGCTTCCCTCGGCACGAATTCTATCCGCAGACCTGTCCAGGGTCCAGGGCTGCGTTCGGACCAGGACTTCGAAGCGAATCCCGCCGTGGCGACGAGGGCCTGCCCGGGGGCCGCGTAAAGGTATAAGTACAATCGACCCCTCTAATAAGGATGCGCGGTAAGGATGCACGGGCCTTGGACGCCCATTTCGAAGCCGTTCGAGCGGGGCGCGGCCAGCGAACGTGGCCAAGGATGGACCGAGGAGGCAAGGATGCAAGGGTACCCTTGGGAAGGATGCCCATCCTTACTAGTCGGGTTGACTGTAAGCATCCCAAAGACTTCACCACCGGGCTCCTGTCCGAGGTGTACCTTTTCCTGCACGTCCGCTTCGGCACCGCCTGATCCCTGGGCTTCGCCCGCTCCTGGCCGCGCGAGACCCCGCCTTCTTCCGCCCTTTCGCTGCTAGTTAGAGCTGTGCGGGTCCCGCTTAGCTTTCAGCGGAAGAGGTTCGCTCTCGCCCTGCAAATCAACAAAAAAAGTATCCCAAAGTTTCGACCCTCGATCCTGCGGAGGCCCCCCCGAGAGGCCGAAGCAGCTGGTTGACGGCCGAGCCGCTTCGCCGACGCCGCGGCGGCGCGGGGCGACCCTCCGACCCCATATCGGCGGTGGACGGACCTCCCTTTAGCAAACCTCCCCCTCCTCCTCCTCCTCCTCCTCCTCCTCCTCCTCCCTCCTCCTCCTCCTCCTCCTCCTCCTCCTCCTCCTCCTCCTCCTCCTCCTCCTCCCTCCTCCTCCTCCTCCTCCTCCTCCTCCTCCTCCTCCTCAAACCGACGGACCTGGACCCGCAAAAATGACGGCCGCGACGCCCTCTCGCGAACCGAAGACGGCCAATTCCTCAATCGACGCGTCAGGGTAGGAGGTCGATCCACCTCCGACCCCAGGCTTGTTCCTTCCCGCGAAGACCGACTGCGCTACGATGAGCATTGCCGGCTTCCCCACTGAGGGAGTGGGGACTCCACCAGCCGCGAGGGAGAAGGAAGAGAACTCGCCATCGCTCCGAAGTCCATTCCCCGCGCACGTGTCGGCTTCGTGCGCTTTTTCTCGCACGGTGATCCAAGATGCTCCTCGATGGTCCTCGCCGAGAAAACATGCACACGTCCGAGCGATGCCAGGAGGAAGCAGGGAAGCGAGGCAGGGAGGGAGACCGCCGCGACAGGTGCCGCGTGCGGCGGAGCGGCGGCCGGCACTAGCCTCGCGAGCTGTGCAGATCCTCCGGCCCAATCTGCTTCTGAGCTCTGGCCCCGTCTGGCCAAGTGGACGTCATCCGGGGGGGGGGAGCTGCAGTCGACAGGAGGCCACAGGAACGTGCATCGAGAACATGGGCCGCTTCACCGAGAGGCCCAAGACCCCGCAGAGATACCCAAAAAGGAGGGCAGTCCAGGGTAGAGAGCCCAACGGCGCAGAACAGAACGCGGCCCCGAACGGGCCCCACAGGGCCCCTACACTGCCACCCCGCATCGACACTATGCGAGCCGGGTTCGGCCGGCGAACGCAGCCACGGATGGGCCGAGCGGGGAGGGTGCAAAGGGTAACCTCAGGAAGACTGCCCCTCCTTCCAATGCGGGTTGACTGTATCGACACTCTGCGAGCGCGGCCAGCGAAGGCGGCCAAGGATAGGGCGAACGGGAAGGATGCGAGTGCAACCTTGGAAATCTGCCCCCCGTCGTATGCGCGTCGACTGTACAGCCCAAGACGGCATGAGCCGCAACCCTCGGGACCACTCCTTCATGACAGCCTGGGCTCGGGGGTCAAGAACCGTCCGCCCGACCTCTCCCGGAGTGCGCTCTTCACTGAGCAGGGACCGACCGTCCCGGCATTCATATAGGCCTACCACGACATGTTCCTAGAACCCAGAAGTATTCTAGGATCAAAAAATGTTCTTAGAACATAAACCCGACGTGCAAACCAGAAAAGGTCCTTAGAACCTTCTTTGGTAGGCCTCTAGGCGAGCCAGGACGCTTCGCCACCGCTTGGCTTCACTAAAATCTCCAAGGGGAATCCGGCCGCGGCGACTGCTGGCGCCTCGCGGAGGCGCAAAGAGCATGAAACGCCCTCGAACCGTCGAGCCTCGACATCCGCCTTCCTCCGACCCGTTTGCGCCAGGGCGACCCCGACTGGGCGGTCATGGATCGAGGACTGGCAGCGAGGATTGACAGAACACCCTGCAGGAGAAGGGGCTCTCTACGTGCGCACGGCACCGCATTTCAAGTGGACCCAGGCGGGGTAGCAAACTAATGCCAATGTCGAGAGAACCAGTGCAGACTTTCATAATCGACTTGTCTGGGCGGGTATTCTCTCAATGCCCAAACGTCCATGTTCCTCAGAAAGTGTGTTAATGCCCACGCGGGCTTGTCCCACGAAACCCTTCGGCACGATGTGGGCGGTGGAGTAAGGGCCGGCACAGGCTGTGTGCGCAGCGAGTCTGAAGCGGGATACGGCTAGATCAACTACCACCAAATCTTTTCGGGTGGGGGGGTCAGGACGTGGCTGATGCGCGCAGAGACACGGAAGGCTGAAGCCAGTGCACACGTGCATACACATCATCACATGGCAGACGTTGCACGTCCTGAGGACCATCGAGACTGGGCGGCCCCACCGCGGAGGCGTCGCCGGTCCTCGCCGCAGGCCCCCCCCGCGGCGCCGCCGCGTGGTGCCGCCGCGCCTGGCCTCGCCTTCCCGCGTCGGGCGCAGCCGCACGCGGCAGAGGGGCAGCGTCGGAGGCGCTGCACAAGAGTTGGAGCAACCGGTGTCGGGCTCTGTTCGGCCTCTGCAGGCCACCGTCAGACAGCTGCTCGGGGGGAACAGAAGAGGGAGGCCGTCCAGACCCGTACGGCCCAACGCCTGGAAAAAGCTGGAGCGCCGGCGGTCTGGGAATGCGAGTCCAGGAAATCATACACAACGGATGGCCCCAGATCGCCGGAGCCACGGCTGGCTACCTACCAGACCACCCCAACCCAACCCGCAGACCCGAATTTGACTCGAATTTCGGGTTGGGGGCGGGTACGGGGTCCATCTGTTTTTCCATGTTCCCCGACCCCGCCCCCCACTGGAAATGGAGGGCAAATTGAGGCCTTCGGGTTGGGTTGGGGTGGTTTGGTGGGCGGTGAACGTCTCCTCTCGACACCACGCGAATTAATAGCAAGCACCACAAGCCTGAAACGCTGGCGGGGGTCACAGCACCGCGGGGGAAGAACATCGCGCACACCTCTTGCCGCCGGGAGCGTTGCTTCCCGTCGCGGAGCGCCCGAAGGTCGAAAACGCGAGACACCAGGAAAACATCGAATAACATTGAAATCAAAGAGTTGGGCCTCTTCGGGGTCCAGGAGAAGAGGACGGCGGAGAGCCCAAACGTGCGGTGCCCTGGCCTGCTCCAGCACGGGGCCCCCGGCAGTCCCGGCCCTGCCCCCGGGACCTGCTTTGCATCCTAAGTCGTTTTCGGCGGTCCCAGGGCCCAGGGAGGGCCTCCAGGGGCGAAGCCCCAGAGCGGCTCACAGGCTTGACCCTCTCACGACGCGAGCATGTCTGGGGGGCTCTCCCTTTCCAAAATTGGCGGCGAGCAGAAGGGGTAGGGGGAGGGGGGAAGGCTTCTTAGAAGGAGGCTGATTCTTAGAAGGCGCCGGCCTTACATCTACAGAGAAGGCCGCACCTTCTAAGAAGCAGGGGTGTTTCTAAGAAGCCTTCCCCCCTCCCCCTACCCCCCTCTGCGAGCTGCCAACAAAACTCCGGGGCTGGACTCATTCCTGTCGGCCGCAAAAGAGTTTACGTGCCCGCATGTTTCTCGATTCTGGCACGTTCTCCCGCATGCAGGGGGAAGACTGGCCATCGCTCGGACGTCCATTCCCTGTGTTTTTTTCGGTTTCGTGCGTGGTGTTTTCGCCAAATGATCAAGGATGCTCCTCGATGGCCCTCGCCGAAGGAAAAATGCACACGTCCAAGCGATGCCAGGATGGAGGGGAAAGAGAGGGGGGGTGCGTGGCGGCGTGGCTCAAACAAGAATCCGCGCTTCACGCAAGCCGGCACTCACTCGCACGCCTCTTCGGCCCGGCGCTGTTCGAGAACGCGGCAGAACGTGTGGTCCAGGCCCCTGCGCACGGGGTGTTTGTAAACTGCGTGATAGCTGAGGGCGGCTTGTCAATTGTGCCCTCAAAAATTCGATCTGCCGCGCACAAGTGCGAGGTGATCCCCCCCGCCCAGAGTCATGATGATGCGTCGACGATCTTGTCGCTCCGATGCATTACGCACTATATAGAGCGAGGCAGATGCCCTGACACCCTGTACTCGCTCGTAGAGGCCCCTGAGCTACCACCCCGTTTTCTTACGCCCGGTTGCAGGGGCTCTGGGTGGTGGGGGGGGGGCAGGGAGCCCACAAAGGACGTACGCGCCCAGCTATGTACATGAACACGGCCCCCCGATCCGCGAGACCGGCCGCGTTATACGAACAGTTGCGCAATGCGTATGCTCGGACGTCCATTCCCTGTGTTTTGTTCGGTTTCGTACGTATTTTTTTCGCCAAATGATCAAGGATGCTCCTCGATGGTCCTCGCCGAGAGAATAATGCACACGTCCGAGCGATGCCAAGCTCGCGGGGCCCGCGGGGCTCTGCATCTCAGAAGGGAGCCCGCCCGGGCCGCCCGCCGGGGGCCACGAGGGGGGCGGGAGGAGGGGGAGGGGGCGAAGTGGCTGCCCCTGTCCTCCTGCGCACTCCTCGTGCTCGTCCGTCCTCTAGCTCGCTCCTCCTCCGCGTCTCTCCCTCCTCCTGCACTCCTCGCCCACTGTCCGCCTCGCCTGCGAATGCGAGGCCGCGTGCGGCGACAGTGCAATCGAAAACCGACCGGACCGACAACGAAACCGAAACCGACAGGGACAGGCCGCAAGCAGCCTTGAAGGGAGCAGCGTCGCAGGAACGGCACAACAATCGACCGAACCGAACCGACCGAACGCAAGTGACTGCGACGCAACCGAACCGATCGAATCGCAAACATTAACATTAATCGCGACATGACATTGAAAACCTGAGTCGACAGGCTTGATCATGATGCCATTTGGCGCCCTGGCAGTGCCAAGCGCTGCAGAAGCGCCATGCCGATTCCTTACAGACCACAGAAGTTTAAGCACAATTGCACCCCATTTGCCTGGGTCACCCAGAGGCTGGCAGCTCTGTATGGATGATCCATATCCAGCGTTGGCGGGGGCATCATGAGGTCCAAAAGTCCACCTCGAATGCTTGCTCAGCTTCTTTGTCAACATATCCTCGGATATGCGATTGTTTGTTCAATGCGCGGCCACAAGGCTCCCGACCTCTTCTCTAAGGGTAAACATGTACTTGTGCCAATGTTTGATGTTCTGGGGGGGCACACACAAACGGGCCCCAGAAACAGATCGAGGCAAAACGCCGAGATTGGAAACGTCAGATCCTCGGATGCCGAGGTCTTTCGCCTACAAGTGTTGGGTTTCACGGGCTCTGCCATCTGCATGCCAGGAACCACTGAGGCCCACGCCGGGGCAGGCCTCAAGCCAAACAGCCCATGCGGGCCACGCAGCTGCTCGCTCCGCGCCGCGCGAAGCGCCAAATTTCCTCCTCGCGCTCCCCTGCGGCCCCCCCTGGAGGCCAGGCAAGCCCCCCCCCTAGACCGAGGGGCGCGAAGCGCGGTGATCTTCGCACCCACGCGGGTGGCTCCCCAAATGACAAAACCTGGGGAAACCAACAGGTACCGATACCGCTACTCCCAGGACCTCTCCCGGGGTGCGTTCTGACCAGAATTGCAAGGCGAATCCAGTGGTGGCGAAGAGATCCTGCGAGGAGGCCCAAAAAGGGGTAAACGGCCAGAAGGTAGAGGCCTGGGTGCCTTTCCCTCCTCTGAGACCCGTCCCGGAGCGACTTCTGCCCGGAACTTCGAGGGGGGCCAGCCGTGGCCGCCGTGGCGACGGGGACCCCTGTGGGCATGCGAGCCCCAGGGGACAGCACACGCGCACAGAGATGCCCGCCCCGCCGCGCGCCGCGGGAGAGCGGTGGCGCACCGAGGCCCTGCTCCGCGGCGCTCGGAGGCGCCGCTCCGCGGACCATTTGGGCGCGGCGCCCCGAGGCGCGGCGCCCGGACGCCTCGCCGCAGCGACGCCCGAGAGAGACGCCAGGGGCGCGAAGCACCCCCAGCCGGCGGCGAGCGAAGGGGGGGGGGGAAGTGAGAAGGCCAAGGCCTCCTCACGAGGCGGCGGGCCTTCTCGGGAGCCCTCGCGCCCACTGACCAAAAAGTGTCCTGCGTTTCCGGGGAAGGCTCTCAGACCCCTTCTCAGGAGGCCGGGGGGCTCGGGAGCCTCCCGACGGAGGCCTCCTCCCTCTCGCTTCCCCCCCCCGCTCGCCGCCGGCCCGGGGCGCAGGCGGGCGGGGCGGGGCGCAGCACGCGGCCTCGCACGGGCAGCCTGCGCGCGCCACGGCCCGCACGGGTAGCCCTCCAGGCCAACGGGGGCCAACGCCACGAGCGCGCGGCCCTGCGCGCGGTCGGCCGCCCGAGGACCGCCCGGCCCGCGGGGAGGGCCTGGCCGCAGGAGGGCCGGCGGCCGCACGGCGGGCGGGCCGCGGGCAGCAGTGAGAGAGAGAGAGAGAGAGAGAGAGAGAGAGCAGGAGGGAGCCTGGGCGCGGCAGCTGCACGAGCGCGGGGCAGCACCAGCACCCCTCCCCCCGGCTCCCCAGGTAGGGGGCCACACGCGAACCCTGCCCCCGCCCCCTACGATTTCTGAGGGGGAGGGCGGGGGCAGGGTTCGCGTGTGGCCCCCTGGCCTGGGCGCGGCAGCTGCACGAGCGGGGGGCAGCACCAGCACCCCTCCCCCCGGCTCCCCAGGGCCCCGCACCCCGGAGCCCCTCCCCGCCCCACGGGGATGAGGAGGGCAGGGGAGCGGGGCAGACGCGGGAGAGGAGCCTTCGCGCCAGCACACCGGACGCTGCGGCAGGGCGAGCACTGTCACCGCGTCTTGGTGGGCTCCGCAAGACCGAGGCGCTTGACGGCCCGGCGTCCGAAACGGGTTTCAAAATGGCGCAACATGGAAGATCAGCATCCGTCGTGCAGCTGTCGGATCTGGAAGCACAGACAGCAATGCGCAGAGCCTCCGTCGCGAGCTGTTCGAGTCGCCAGGGGTCTGGGAATGGGCCCAGGCGTGGTCGGCCCCCCTGATTTAGGACATAAATGACACAAGGGAAAGACCCCTGTCAGTGGATGGTGTGAAAATTAGCGATACGGATATTGATATCGATCGTGATAGCGATGATGACATCGATCGTGGGATCGATAGCGAGCACGATAGTAAGGTCGATCGTGAAACTCATAGTGAAATCGATTCAATGAGATCGATCGTGAGATCGCGCGTGCGACCTATAGTGAAATCGATTGTGAGAACGATAAGATCGATAGAAAAGTGGGTAATGAGATCGATGGTAGAACCGATCGATATTGAGATCGACCAATCACCCGGGAGCCCAGAAACCCGGGAACCCCGCCACCCACCGATTTCTGCGAGGAGCCAGCAACAGGGAACCGGGGAACCCGGAATAAGGAACCCGGCAACCTACCGAAATCGGCCGGCTTCAGTGCAAACACTGATTGGGGAAAATGGTTTCTTGGAAGTCCGCATGGATTTCTTGGATCGGCGCTGGACCCCCCTCCCTGCTGGCGCGGCGGCGACGGAGGAGACGTCAAGGGGGTCCCAGCTCCGATCCAAGAAACCCGCGCGGAGCTCTTAACAATTTTCGGAGAATCGATGCCGCCACCACCAGCGGGCACTCCAGCGAGGAAGCCCATAATGCCTCGCTTAGCTGGGGATTGGAGATGTCCCAAACGCGACGCCGCAGGAGGGAGCCACACCACTGGGAGGGCCCTGCCTGGCTCTTGCCCCGTGCGCAGGCCTGATCTGGATCGAATCACGAAAGCTTCTGCGGCAACTCATGGGAGCCTCCCATACCATCGTGTTGGCTCTTCCGTATCGACGCTGATCGACGCTAGTCGACGCTACATCGACGCTGATCGACGATCAACCGGCGCAATCCCATCAATTACCATACCCTAGTCGACGCTAGTGCACTCGATTATTTTGCGTCGAGCGATCTCCACCGAAACCTTCGGCGTTTGATCCCGAAGGTGCGCGCGCTCATTCTGGTGAGTTGTGAGGTGTGGTGTACACTAGTATGCTAGGCTAGGTTGTGCTGTGAGGTGAAGTGGTCTGTGTGACCAATTATGCCATAGCTTATGGTGTTATGTTATGATATGCTATGTTTTGCTCTGATATAGCCAACTATGCCGCGCCCTGTCATGGTAGGCATTGTCATGGCGTACGACGATATGCGTTGTGATGCTGTGGTGTACTGTGGTTTGTTCTGCCATGCTATATGAGGTGATGCCCTGTTATGCCATGACATTAGATGCCCTGTTATGCCACGTTATGTGTGGTCCGAACTGTCATAGCATGCGTTGTTAATACCTGTTGTGATATGATTTGCTGTGCCATGTGATGTGAATATGTGGTATGTTCTGGTTTGGTAGGTTCAGTTCTGCGTTGAGTTGATATGGTATGCTTGATGTGTCATGGTAGGTAATGCTATGTGCTGTGATGCTGTGCTATGGTATGCATTGTTCTGCATGGTGCGTTAATGTTACGGTATGGCCTGTCATGATCTGGTGCGTCATGCTCGGACATGTTATGTTTGGTGGTGTGGTACAATGCTCTGTTCTGTGGGGGCCTGGGGATCTGGCGGCCGCGGTATGCAGCGTGGGCGAGTCGGCGCCAGGGGCGGGACCCTCAGGGATTATCGGGGGACCTGGGGACCTGGCGGCCGCAATGTGCAGAGTGGGCGAGTCGGCGCGGGGGACGGGACCACCGGGCATTATCGGGAGCCTTGGGATCTGGCGGCCGCGGTATGCAGGGCGGGGGGGAGGGGGGCGGGACCACCAAAGATTATCGGGAGCCTGGAGATCTGGCAGCCGCGGTATGCAGGGCGGGCGGGCTGGGAAGTCTGTTCCTAAAATCTAACGACCTCAACCTGTAATTGCGAGGATATACAAGGCTCCCATGCTTTACTACCGACCAAATCGGCTCGAACTGGAAACGGATCGAATCGCCAGCGTATCCTCCCGAATCGACTCTGCCACCGTGCCGCTGGGCACGAAGTGGGCGTGTCCTCGGGTCCTTTGCCCAACTCAGGCGTTGGCAGAACTGGGTTTAGTGGGACCTGGTTTTGTGATGTGTAGCGGGGACGCCCCCCCGTCCCATTCCACTAACCGGAATTGCCGTCACCCGAACAAAACACCAGCTATGGCAAACCTGGTTTAGCGATTCTGGCCCATTCCAAGGCTCCAGGGCCCTACCACTAACCGGGTCCCCTTACCTGAGGGTCCCTTGCCCAACCCCCTGAGAGCCCCAGCCTTCAGACCCGAGGGGTGTTTGCAGGGGGCCCCGACAGAACTGTCCGACCTCTCCCGGGGCTTGCCGCGTGCCCCCATGGGCTCCGGCGCGTGCCCCGTGGGCTCCGGCGCGCCTCGTTGCGTGAGCTGCCGGGGCCCAGGACGGCCGCAAGAGGGGCCTGGGAGACCCCACGAGGCTCCCAGGACGGTCCACAAGAGGGCCCCGAGTCGCCAACAGATCGCCCCCGGACGCCCAACATGGCCTCAAGATGGCCCCAAAAGGCCTCCAGGACGCCCCAGGAGGCCTCCAGGAAACCTCCCAAGATGGCCCAAGAGGCCAAAACCAAGAGGACTTGGGCGTTCTCGCCTGTCCTGTTTTCCGACGCTCCCAGACGGCCCGAGAGGCGCCCAAGACCATCCCAAGACGGCCCCCAAGAGGGGCTAAGAGCACCTCGAGACGGCCCAAGATGCGCCCAAGACGGCCTACGAGGGCCCCGAGACGGCCCCAAAAGGGGCCCAAGAGAGGGAACACGAACCGAACATCTTCGCCTTCCGCCCCAAGAGCCCGCGAGGCCCCAAGTGCGGGCCAACAGGCCCCAGGATGCCCCCAAGAGGCCCCCAAGAGGCTCCCTAAAAGCCTCCAAGAGGCTTCAAAGAGGCCCCCAAACGGACCTCAAGAGGCCTCCAAACTGGGCCTCCCACGAGATCCCAACGAACATCCAACAGGCTTCACACCCACATGCCATGTAGATAGAAATCGGATCGCCGCGCGCGGTTCCGGTCGGACCAGGCCGATGCCGGTGAATCGAGCCGAATCGAATCGAATCGGAATCGCGGACCCAGCCCGCGAAGCGAATCGCCCCGAATCGGATCGCAGGCGGCCCTGCCTGGTGGACGAAAGCGTCCAAAGACCTGGCGCTCTGGTGCTTTCGACGCGTTGGCCCCCAGAGGCCCGGACCACTTCCCTGTCGGGCCGGCTTCTCATCCCGAACCGCTCCTTGGCGGTCCCTGAGGCCCGCGGAGCGGAAGGCCCCTCGGGAGGTCGAAAGCAGCCCAGAGCAGGAGCATTGGATCGCTGGGGAGGGTGCGACGACGACGAAGACGACGAAGACGACGACGACGACGACGACGACGACGACGACGACGACGACGACGACGACGACGACGACGACGACGTGTGCGGCGCGCCGGCCCCCCTTCGCTCGGCTCTGGCCGCCCGTGCCCAACCCGCCCGCGGGGGGAGGCCTTCGACGGCGAGCTGGCGGTGGCGCCGCCGCTGGGCTGCACGGGCGCCTGGGCCCAGGGCTCGGGCGGGCGCTGGAGCATGCCGAGCCCGGCCCCCACCAACCATCGGCCCCCCTGAAGCGATGGGAGGCACCATGTGAAGATCGGTCTGGATGCCGTTTCTGGCAAGATAGCTGCGCACACAGGTTCGGCACAGGCGCGCGAGACGGGCTTGCCGCAGCGCTCCCCCACGCCCGCGGCCATCTGCCTCACAAGGCCCCCCAGGGGGCCGTGCTGGCAGTGCAGCACGCTGCGCACTGTACACCAGCGTTGAGTCTGGGAAACACGTCACCGGGTGGCACCGCGCCGCGGGCACCCAGGGGAGGCGTCCTCGCTCGAGTCGTTTCGGGGCGCACTCGGTGCTCGATGCTGCAGCAGGATCCGTCGGCATCGACTCGGGACATCTGTCGGCGGCGAGCGACGGGGAAGTGAGAAGGAGACGGCCCTCTCAAAGGCGGCGGGGCTTCTCAGAAGAGCCGCGGTCTTGAGATGCTGGCACCGAACAGCCGCAGACACATGGTCTGTCACAGCGGGCTGTGGCCCGAGAAGTATTCCTCCTCATCTTACTCTCCCTCATCCTTCCCCTCCTCTTCCATCTCCCCCCTCGCCTCTGCTTCTACTAGAACCAGAGCCATGACCAGAACCAGAGCCAAAACCAAAACCAAAGCCAGAACCAGAACCAGAACCAGAGCCAGAACCAGAGCCAGAACCAGAACCAGAACCAGAGCCAGAACCAGAGCCATAACCAGAACCAGAACCAGAGCCAGAACCAGAGCCAGAGCCTTGCTCGGAGGCCACGAGACACTGTGTATCACAGGTTTTTCTGGTTTTTCAGGTCTGGGAACCAACGAAACATTGTATATCACAGGTTTTTCTGGTTTTTCTGGTTTTCAGGTGCCGACAAACAGGAGGTGGGGGAGCGGTGGGGCGAGGCCGCGGCGAGCATTTCAGCTCCAGAAACCAGAAAAACCAGAAAAACCTGTGATACGCAGTGTTTCGTTGGTTCCCAGACCAGAAAAACCAGAAAAACCTGTGATACACAGTGTTTCGTGGCCTCGGCCGAAACCGATATGCTTGCGCGCACGGTGCCCGTGACGGATGGGCCGAGCGGATGAGTTCGTCAGCCTGGATGGCAGGCCAAAGTTGAGTTGTGTATTCGTGCTTTGGGCGCCAGGGGCGAGGATTTGTGGCTGGCAACAGGGAAGATGCTGGAGGAGGCCTTCCTCAAGGAGCACTGCCAGTGAGCGGCGAGCGCTGTAGTCCCCGAAGAGTACACAGTGTTTTCTTGCTCGGAGGCCACGAAACACTGTGTATCACATGTTTTTCTGGTTTTTCTGGTCTGGGAACCAACGAAACATTGTATATCACAGGTTTTTCTGGTTTTTCTGGTTTTCAGGTGCCGACAAACAGGAGGTGGGGGAGCGGTGGGGCGAGGCCGCGGCGAGCATTTCAGCTCCAGAAACCAGAAAAACCAGAAAAACCTGTGATACGCAGTGTTTCGTTGGTTCCCAGACCAGAAAAACCAGAAAAACCTGTGATACACAGTGTTTCGTGGCCTCGGCCGAAACCGATATGCTTGCGCGCACGGTGCCCGTGACGGATGGGCCGAGCGGATGAGTTCGTCAGCCTGGATGGCAGGCCAAAGTTGAGTTGTGTATTCGTGCTTTGGGCGCTCTGGGGGGTCGGGGGGGGGGGGATCGACCATATATATACATATATATACAGATATATGATATATGATATGTGTTATATGATAGATGTATACATAACAAGATACACCAATAGTTATCTCTTTCTACACACATCTACATAATCCCACCAGCCCGTAGGGGAACACGTGGTCTAAGGAGGGTCTCTTTCCTCTTCCACAACCCTTTCTTCCCCTTCGGGGAAAGGATTATCACTGTTCCCGATTAGTATACACCCCCTCCCCCAAGCGACTGGCGGCCAACCAGGAACCATGCGGACCCCCCCCCCACCATCCATATCAAAAAACAATACAAACGCACTCTGCTTCACATGTGGAGCATGCGCGGTCAACCCGATGCGCCCCCCCCCCCCCCACACCATCCCTGTCAACAAACGACATCAGGTACACTTTGGGTCAACATCTTGAGCCATATGGTGAGTCCCGCGAGCACTTTGTATTGTTATTGACAGGGACGGCGGGGGTGTCAGCATATTGCCTGCTGCGCGCCGGGCTACCATCCCCAGCAACAAAGAACAACAGAAAAAACAAGTGCGCGGCCACCCCGCGAACACAATCAACTGGTTTTTGCCAGGGACGGCAGGGGTGGCGGCGTATAGCCTGCTGTCGCAGGCCCACCAAGCACAATGACGGGCATTGGTTTCGACAAGGATAGTGGGGGTCGACATGTTTCCCAATGTGTGCTGTCACGTGTGCAGGCGTTATATATGCATATGCACATACATACATTACATTACATTACATTACATTACATTACATTACATTACATTACATTACCTTACATTGCATAACATTGCATTGCATTACATTACACTACATTACACTACACTACATTACACTACACTACATTACATTACAGTGCAATACATTGTATTACATTACATTGCATTTCATTTCATTACATGCATACCTATATACACACATACATACATACATACATACATACATGCATACATGCATACATGCATACATGCATACATACATGCATACATGCATACATGCATACATGCATACATGCATACGTGCATGCATTACATACATTACATACATTATATATACCTATACATATATAATGCATACATACACACATACATATGACATGCAAACATACATACACACATACATGCATACATACATATATACACACATACATACATACATACATACATACAAACATAACATAACATAACATAACATAACATAACATAACATCACACCACACCACACCACATCACATCACATCACATACATCACATACATACATACATACATACATACATACATACATACATACATACATACATACAGACCCTTCTTATATTTTGACCCAGGAACGCCCCTCGCGGGGGTAGAACCCAATTTGATCAGAATCACTCTCTGGAACGTCTTTGGGACGTTTGTTGCTAGCCTTATCGCGGTGTCACCATCCTCATGTTTGTTGCTTCCGCTGCGCATGGTGTCTCTTATTGCCGTGTTCTTTCTGAGTGTGTAATTCCGTCCTGGTCCTCGGTTTCCTTGAGTTTTTTTTTGTTCGGGCTCTGTTTGACGTTCCCATCTGGTTTCTGTTTGTCCTCACCCTCCTCCTCCTCCTCCTCCTCCTCCTCCTCCTCGTTCTCGTCATGTTTCTTCTCCCTCTGCTCCTCCTCCTCCACCATCGTCCTTCTCCTCCTCCTTCTCCTGCTCCTCCTCCTCGTCCTCATCGCTATCACCATCATCATCAATGTCCTGCACATCCTCCGCCGACTTCCCGTCTCTTTTTCCCTCTCTCCCTTCCTGCTCGTCCTCCTCCTCGGGGGGCCTTGAGGGACCACGCGGGGTATCCTGGGACCTCCTGGAACTTCCTGGCGCCTCCTTGGGATTCCCACGGCCTCCGCGGGCGTCCTGAAGTGTCCTGGAGCTTCCTGATGCCTCCTGAGGTCTCCTGGGGCCTCTTGGCAGCTCTCTGAGAAGCCACGCGCGGGGCCTCCAAATTGGCGACGGTTTCAAGGATGGGAGCGTCCCGTTGAGAAAGAGGGCGCGGTGGACGTTGAACAAAATGACGACAATGTCGCACTTGAGGCCCAAAACCGTCCCGGGCACACCATGGCGCGAATCCCGGCCCTGCATAATACGGTGCGATTTGCCCCCTCCCCGCTGTCCCAGGAGGGCTGGTTTTCTTGTTTTCGCTGGTAAGAAACACTTCCCCCCCCTCTCGGCGGTGACGGAGGGTAGGCGGCGGGGGAGGGCGGGTTGGCAGGGTGGCTGGTTGGGCACGGAGAGCATGCGGAGGGGATCGGCGGGTTGGCGGGGTGACGGGGTGGGCGGCTGGGCTGGTTGGCTGACGGGTTGACTGGGTGGCTGGGTGGGCTGGCTGGCTGGTTGGACGGGTTGGCAGGTTGAGCTGGCTAAGGCAATTGGTTCCGACTATCTGACCCTGCGAGAACCCCCCCTGAACGGGAACCCCTGAACCGGAACTCCGGATCCCTGGCCCGGGGGCCCCCTGGACGTCTTTGTGCAGTCATGTGGCTCTCTTCGGGCCATCTTGGGGCCTTGTTGGACCGCTTTGGGGGTCTGTTGGACTGCTTGGAAGCCCTTTCGGATAGTTTTGTGCGGTCTCGGAAGCCTGAAAGACCGAAGAACAGAGCATTCCCAAGATCATGCAACAACCATTGGAAATCACAATTGTTCTGCATTTCGAAAGCTTCTTGTGGGTGCTTTTCGTGTCGTCTTCGGGCGTCTGGTGGGTGTTTGGGGCCTCTCGGGGCTCGGGGAGCTGTTCGGCCGCCCTTCTGGCAGATTTTGGGCCTGCTGCCTGGGCCCAGCAGGTGCCCTCAGGAGCTTCCAAAAGCCCGGGGAACCTTCTGTCCAGAACCGATAGCGGCCGCTGTTGGGCAGGCGGCCTTGTGCCTCAGGTGGTCATCGCCCGCGGCGGCACCGACAGCGAGCCCAGGTCACCAAATGGACAGGAATTGCTGCCATAGAGGATCGACAGAACCCCAATCAGTAAAACTCTCTTCAACGAAAGCTCCTGGGACTCTCCAAAGGCGTGCGCGGCACCGCGTTCCGAGTGCACGCGGGCGGAATCCCTAAGCAACGTCCAAAAACAACCGAATGTATCTGGCGAAACGTGCGTCGATTAGCGACACCGACCAGGGGCTGCATTGGCACCGCCTTGGCGATACTTATCAATGCCGAGTGCACCGGTGCAGATTTTTTCAGTCGATGTGTCTGGGGTGGGTGTTCTCCCCGTGCCCGCTGTCAGCCTCAGAAGGACAAGAAAACTGTATAAGCATGAGCTTTTGATGGGCCGATGTTCCACCACCACTAGGTAGGAGAGGGAGGAGGAGGAGGAGGAGGAGGAAGAGGAGGAGCAGAAGGAGGAGAAGGAGGAGAAGGAGGAGCAGAAGGAGGAGGAGGAGGAGGAGGAGGAGGAGGAGGAGGCCTCTCTTCTCCCCCGTCCTACCTATGGTAGTGGTGGGGGAAAAGTAGCCCATCAGCTGTGGACGGTCCGCGCGGATTCCCGATTCCGTGGATCCGCGGCAGAGCCCCAATCCCCAGCGTGCGGAGCGCGCCAGGGACGGCGCCGGAGCCGCCGTCAAGTGGCCCAGCGTGGATCCAAGAACTCCGCGGGGACCACCAAGAACTTAGGCTCACGTTGTGGGTCTTCGACGATGTCGGCCTTCGACGATGTGCCGCGAGACGCCGCCGAAAGGCCACCCAAGGCAGTCACAAGGCCACGAAAGGCAAGGAATCATACACGAAAGGCCGCTGCAGGCCGCTAAAGGCTACTGAACCGAGGCGGTAGATGTTCGAATGGACCGCCAAAAAGACTGACCTGACTGGAGGCCTCCGAGGTGGGGTCCGAGTAGCTGGGATCGGAGGATCTCGCCGCATCGCCAACACATCGGCGATGTATCGCCGATGCATTGGCGCTGCATCGGCCGTGCACTGGCGACGTCGGCGACACGTCCGCGACGTCGGCGCGGAGAAAACTGTGCCCCACGTCGAGCCTCATCGCCGATGCGTCGCCGATGCGTCGGCGATGCGGCGCGATCCTCCCACCCCAGCTGCTCCGACCGCGTCCGGGGGGCCTAGACCAACGTGCCCGATGTCGACCTACCGTCCCCGTTCTCTCCGTGCCCCTCGGTCGGCCGTGCCCCTCCGACGCCCCCGCGCGGAGCGCGCTGGCGCGCTGCCCGTCGCGCCTGCAGCCGCCACCGCGCCGCGCTGCCGCAGCAGCCGCCGCTGGGCGTGGCCGCGGGGCGCGGCGCCCGCGCCTCCGGGGGTGCCGCGTCCGCGCCTGGCGCGCCGCGCAAGGAGGCGAGCGCCTTGTGCCCTCCGGCCTGCGAGCCGCAGCCCCTGGCCAAGACCGAAGGCGAACCAGAAAACGCCTCAGCTGGCCTTCTGTTGCTCCCAACGTACTTCGGGAGAACATCCCAGAAATGATTTCAAGTACCCAAAAGTATATATCGAAACAAGGTCGAACGAGTATCGCCTGCCAGGGCCCGAAACGTGAAAGCCCTCCAGCTTCGGTACTTTCTTGGTGCTCGAAATTCTTTCTGGCCGTCAAGGCCGAAGCAGGTTAGAACATCAAAAAGCTGCCCGCGCCTGGCCGCCTTCGCGGGCGGGCGCGTGCAAGGCGACGGCGCTGCGCAGCCAAGAGGAAGAGGCGGTCGAGGAGGAGGAGGAGGAAGAGGAGGAGGAGGAGGAGGAGGAGGAGGAGGAGGAGGAGGAGGGGAAGGAGGAGGGGGACGGAGAAGGGAAGCGCGTAGCACGTAGCGCAGGAAGGCAGATTGTCGTGTTGTGGCTTGGCATCAACGGCAAGCTGGGTGAGCCTTAATGGGAACCTCTGTGGACCACCGCGGCCCTACGAGCAAGAAGGAGCGCAGCGATGCACACGGCCAGAAACAGTCCTGCCGCCCACGATGGCGGAATCCGAAGGCACGGTCGCGGAGGCCACTTGCTGCATACGACATACGGTGCAGCAGGAAGCCACATGGGGGGATCGGAGGAGGGAAGGATCCACAATGTCCTCGTGGCAGGGCTTGAACGACCCCCGAGACGCTCCCTGGAGGCCTCAAACCTGCCTTCATGAGGCCCCTGAGAAGCATCCCAATAGATCCCGTGAACAGATCCCCTGAGATCCCTGACAAGCATTCGTGAAGTCGCTGACCTACATCCCAGGCGCGATGGCGGGATGGGCCAAAAGCCACTGGAACAGGAGTGCACGCCGTGCTGAATGTTTGTAGGCTCCTGGTTCTTTGAAAATCCCGCTGGGGCTTCGGCCCAATCCGCTGGGCGCCTGGAACTTCCCGAAAACCCAACTCCATTGGCCCGATCGCATTCAAGACGGCCAAGAGGCCCCCAAGCTTGCCCCAACATCGCCCAAAGGGCCTCCAAGATGGCCCCATGACGGCCCAAGAGGCTCCCAAGACGGCCCCGAAGGTACCCCAAGACGGCCCCAGGGGCTTCCAAGACGCTCAAGATGGCCTTCATGACCACCCTGAAACACCCCAAGATGGCCCCAAAACGGCCCAAGGAGGCTCCCAAGACGGCTTCCGACTGCGTCAGACGGGCCTGGAACGCCATAAGACTGCCAAACAGGCCCCAACAAGTCCCCGAAGGCATCCTCCTGTTCCCCTCCTCTCCTCCTCCTCGTCCTCCCCCACGTGCTCCCCGCAGGGCCTCCACCACAATGGCGGGGAGAACGCATGGCCCAACAGCGTGGCAAAACTTTGCCCAAACGCTTGGCCGCATCAGGCGGGGGGGCGGCGATGATTCGCCGCAGGCGTCTTCGATTCGGCCACATCGCTCCTGGCCAGGCCCGTCCAAGACCCAGGAGCTGCCCGCCTGGCCAGGGTCGAAGCTGCACTCCCAGGTGCAACAAAAACACTCGCACGGGATCGACGGGGGAAAGGATGCGGGGGGTGCATTGGTGGGGAAATGCCATCTCCGAGAAGATCAAGCGCAGCGAACAAAAACCTCGTGGAAAATAACTTCACCCACGCCGAATAATCCAACGGGGCTTGAATCAGGCTCGTGAGGCGCGATGAAGTCCCTGTGACTGTTCCAAGACTGCCACCACGGAGTTTGCCTGCCAATCGAAACATTGTTCTGTTGGTATGACATACGCTCGACTGCGACTGCGTCGAAATCTGTCCATGGAATTGGCAAGTTGAGCCCAAGCTTCGCGCTGACCTGCTACTCGGCGGCGCCTTCCAACGTTGGGCTGGCGATGGCGGCCAACGCCTACGGGGACACTGTGCTGTAGCACTGGGTTCGGTCTGGGACCCCGATCTGCGGACTGAGGCACTATGGCCGTCACCTGCGTCGCCTGGACCAATCAAAGCAAACAAGGGGCTCTCACAAAGGAGGTGCGCCCACCCAGGGAGGCAGCGCTCACGGCCATGTGGGGGGTGCCCACACACGGGATACGCGCGCCAGTTTCCCCCCCGAAAGAGGGTGCCCCGAACCATCCCCGAGGCAGCTGATCGAGGCCGGAGGTGCCCAAAACCACCCCCACTGCAGCGGGGGGGTGTCCAAAGCCATTCCTCTGGGGGGACAAAAAGTGAGAACGTCGGGGGACTTCGTGGGAACACACACTGGGAACACAGGGGAACAGAGCTGCCCCAAAACATTGAACAAAGCAGTGCTTTTGTTCATTCAAGGATCCAGGGGAACATCTGGGAACACAGTGGGAACATCGTGGAACATGGTGGCAACACAAGGGAACACAGCTGCCCCAAAAAGGGACAATAGGGGAACATTGTGGGAACATAGGGGCCCATAGTGGGGACCATAGCTTCCCAAAAACATTGAAAATCCTATGGTGTTTCAAGGATCTTCGGGAACATCGGGGAACATAGTGGGAACATGGGGGAGCGTAGGGATAGCTGCCCCAGGTTATGGTTTTTGCCCCCCCCCCCCCCCCCTCTCCCCCCCGCCTCTATCAGCTGTCCTAATTAGGGGGTGGTTTGGGCCCCCCCCGCCTCGATTGACTGCCCCAGGGGGCGTTTGTAGGTAACTCCAGCCTCGATCAGCTGCCCCAGGGGGGGGGGTCCTGCAGGGAGTTGACGCACATGGGGCCCCTTCGGGGCCAGCCAGTGTGGGGGGGGCACGACCACCGTGGGGCCCAATCAACCGCCAAGACCACATCGCGCAGCTTCTCCGACAGCCCGTCTGGGCAGCGTTGACCCTTCCCGCTCTCCCTGATGTTTGTTTGCGTCTGGATACCCTTCCCCAGTCCCCCCTGCGCCTTTCCCATCAATTTCCCTCCTCTCCTCCCCATTCCGTTCCTCATGATTCGGGCACGACTGCGCCACCAGCACTTCCCCACCCCTGGAGCCGCGGGCTATGCCTACTGGCGCAACCTGCGCAGCGTACAAAAACGCATCATGAGAAGCTGTGCGCGTGTTGGTTAATCTCCACGAGCTCCGGACGCGCGGATATATCAAACCCTGTGAATGCGCAATTGGCCCCCAACCACCCCCCGTCGCCAGATCTCCCTGATCTGTTTTTGAGTGGTTCTTGGCAAGCTCGGTATAGAAGGTAGGAGTGGGTCTGCAGCTGACGCCTTTCGATCCTGGTGTACCCACGGCGCGTCGAGCAAGCCACACAAACCAGATGCAGTGGCAAGGGGGCCAGACAAACAGAGGGCGCGGGGGAGGGGAGGGGGGGGGGAACAATTCGGCACCGCGCGCTGGGTGTCCACCTCTGGAGCATCCGTGCGTGCACGACGACGGACACCTGATCGGCGCACGTCCTTGCCGAAATGTCGCCCACTCTGCTTCGCCGGGTGGACAAGCTCGAGGGTCACCCGCGGCGCCCCGCATCCAGCCTCCGCCAAGCCTCTCAGATACCAAACAAACAACGCCCATGCAGAGTATCATGTTTGGACTGCATTCAAGCTCCGCTCCAACGCGGACGATGCATTACTTTTCGACTGTGGTGGCCGAGTCCTGGGCCGAAAATCGACGACGCCTCGGGAGAGGCCAACGTGGCACGGTATACGCAATCGAACAGGGTCCGACCGTCCCGGCATTCCTGTAGGCCGCAAGGATGTTTCGCAGAGCGGAGAAAAAGTCCAAGAGCAAAACACATTGCCCTTTGAGCAGATAAGCGACATGTTAACAGTCGACTGTCTCAACCAGAATGCCAGGAAAGTTCCGTTCAAACCACCGCAGGTTCCCACTGCATTACCCGGAGGACCGACAGGCAGGTCTGGACGCCTCTGGAGGCCTCCCAGATGGGGTCGGAGTGCAGGGAGCCAGAGGTTCGCACCGCATCGCCGATGCATCGGAGATGCGGCGTGATGCCCCGATACTATCTACTGCTTCGCCACTGCTCGACACAAATCGTCCGCGGCTCTTGGGAAAACCAAGGTACCGACACCACTAACTACTCCCCGGACCTCTCCGGGGGTGCGCTCTGACCAGAACTTCGAGGCGAATCCTGCGGTGGCGACGAGGGCCCCCCATGGAGGCCCAAAAAGGGGCGGAAAACGGGGAAGGGCAGCGGTACTGGTGTACCTTTCCCTCCTCGGATCGCCACTGCTTGAAACACGTCGTCCGCAGATCAGAGGCGCAGTGGCAGACGAGTGCGGAAGCGGCTGTGGACTGCATCCTCCTCCTCCTCCTCTCCCTCCTCCTCCTGCAGTGGGCGAGCGGCAACCCCCAGCGCGGGGATGCTGCGAGGCGCACGCCTTCCGCGGCCCGCTGCGCGGGCGTCCAGCCGAAGCGCCGGCGCTCGAAGCCGCCATGAGCCCGGGCCGCCATGAGCGCCGGCTCTGTGGGTGCGACTGGCCCCCCTGCAGCGATTGCGCAAGTCGGAAAAGGAAGAGGTGCCAATACCGCAAATTACCCTCGCCTCGTGTTCGCCGGTTTTTCGGCCTCCTGGGACGTCCTCGTTGCCGCCGCTCGATTCGCCTCGAAACTCTGGTCACACCGCACCCTGGGAGAGGTCTAGGGAGTAGCGGTACCGGTGCATCTGGTTCTCCCACACGGAGGCACAGAATATACCCGTCATGGACGAGGTGTGGAACCAAAAGTTCGACACGCCCGATGCGAGCGCTCCCACGTGACCTCCGCATGTGGCTCAAAGTTTCTTCACTGGTCACTAACGCTGGCTGCTTGCACGGGCTGGTTACTGCTATGGTGAGGTTTAAGAGCGCATTCTCTATACTCGACCTGCCAGCCAGAACTCAACGCCTAACTGCGGACGCCTAAACTTCACAGGGCAGTGTGCAAGGCATTTCCTTGCATTGATGCACACGTAATGCTCGCTTGCATGGCGAACCAACGGTGACTCATGGGCCCTCCGTGCAGCTGGCCTCGACGTCCTGGCGCAAATCCCCTCTGTGGGTGACTCGAAACGCTGCTCGGTGACAACGAAAGGTACTATACGAAGCGCACCTGCGTCCGCCTGGAAGGGGGAGGGGGGCGGGCGAACAAAAGCACACACAGAGGCTTCAAACGTGGCCCTCCCCCAGCACACGAGGCGAGCTGGGGGAATGCATCGCCCCATGGGCGCGGGGCGGGGGTCTCGGCGTCGGAGGTCTGTGAAGGAGGGTTACGCTTTGTGCGTGCCTCTCTGGTCTCCGCGTCGGAGACTTACGTCATGCGGCGCCCTCTGCGAGCAGACTGGCCTCAAGAGAGAGAAGGTAGCGAGCGAGGGCGGGACGTGTGCTCAACAGGCGGGATCGGGTGCGGGCAGACTCAGCGCCACGAGAGAGGGCAACGGGCTGTCGGCGAAGTCGGGGCGTGTGCGCGACAGGCGGAACCCTGCCCCCACCCCTGCAGCGCTCGGGTCGCAGTGCCTCTGCTCCCCTCTCTCATGCTTCCTGCGTCCTGCGTCCTCATCTTCCTTGATCCACCATCCTTCCGCCTCCCCCGTTCAAGCTTCCTCGCTCGTCCTCCTTCCTCCTCCTCCTTCGCACTGATTTCTGCTCGAAATCACCTCCATTTTTCTGCATTATTACGCCTCGTGTTCACCCTCCTCCTCTCCCTCCTCGGCCTCATCCCCTCGTCCCCATCATCATGCTCGCCCCCCTCGTCATGCTCTACCTTCAACCCCCTTGTCTCCTCCTGCTCCAGGTCCTCCTCTCGCTCCCCTCCCATACTCAGCCTCATCCTACTACAGTCATACACAGCCGTGACAAAAGTTTCTTCAATTTGCTATGATGGAGATCTCTCCTATCCCTCTCAACATTCATAACATGACATGATGCTGGGGTCATTCGGCGGAGTAGTTTCCGATCCAGGACAGGTGCATAACTCTGTTACCCCAAAACGGGATCGGAAACTACTCCGCGCCAAATCATATAAATTATCGAGCGGGATGCGATTGCGCGCGGAAAAGTTTTAGTAAAACTATTCCGAACTACTCCGCACAAGCGCGTCATTCCAAAAAGCAAATTGAAAGAAACTTTCGTCACGGCGATGTAGTGCCACCATGAGGACGGTGACGATACTCGCAAATGGTCCACGCGAGCGGACTAAGCAAATAGCCTGAAGCGGCTGGCAAGGGCATCGCGGCTAGCAGGCTCATTCATGATGCACAAAAAGCTGAATTACACATAAGACAACCCAAGCAATGGATGATTTGAAAACTTAAACCATGAATATTGAGATCGATTGTGATATTGATAGTAGGATCGATAGTGAAATCATTAGTTAGGACGATAGTAAGGTCGATCGTGAGACCGAGAGTGAAATCGATTCAATGAGATCGATCGCGAGATCGCTCATGCGATCTCTAGTTAGATCGCTTGTGAGATTGATAGTGAGATCGAATGTGAGATCGATGGTGAGATCGATCGAGAAGTCGGAGTCGGTAATGAGATCAATGGTTAGACCGATCGATAAAAAATCTGCCAAAAACCTGGGAACACGGCAACCTCGCCGCCCTCCCAAATCGGCCCGGCACCCGGAATCGGGAACCCAGGAACCCGGAACCGGAGAGCTGGGAACCCGGGAACCTAGCCTCCAACCAAAATCGGCGGGTAACTTTCGCCAAATCTTTCAACTTCCGCTAGGACCCCTTCAGTGCAAGCACTGACTGGGGAATAAGGAACGAGTGGGGCTTTTCTGGCCACGGCGAACCTCGGCCGCGAATCGGTTGCCCGACCCAAACCTAAGGAATGGCCCGAACACCAAAACACCACCTCAGCCCGAACTGACTGTATTCCGTTACTCTCTCCCCCTAACCCTCTTTCCTGAGATTCTGGCGTTGCATTTTTGTTCGAGCTGGGCGATTTCGCCTTTTTTCGGGCCGGGGGACCCTCGCAGATCGATTGGCTCGAGAGAACATGCAGAAAGATGGGGTCTAAGGCTCCGGGCGTGTTTTTCACGATGATGTCTCTTTCTGCGACGACGAATCTCAAGGTTCCGTGTTTTGCTCTACCTCCCCCTCATCTGCTCCTTTGTTGGGTGGAGCAGGACGATTGGCATACCGCGAGGATAAGTACCTCACACGTTGTGTGGGGCGACGTCACTGATTAGCCCGCAAACCCAAGCTGGTCCACGCAACTGCACTCAAACGGAAAAGCGCGTGCTGCCCCCAACACCCTGGCAGCGACCCACTCAGAAAACAAACGTTCGATCTCCAACCAGATTTCTGTTGCATACTGTCTACACGACGTTGGCCTTACCTTCGCCCTCCTGATCCGACGACTCCCATTCTAGAAACCTCGATCGGTGATCGACGACGATGGGCTCGCCTTTTTGATGCGGCTGCCTAGCTCTTCTTCCCCTTCTTCGCCGCCTCAGCAGACCGCTTCCCGTGAGGGCGATCGTTCGGATCCACTCTCGAGCCTGCAGGCAGAGCAGCCGATACCAATACACCGAGAGCACGGAACACGTCGACAATGCAGCAGGGCCCAGCCCTCCATCCCGCGGCGGTCTCTTGACGGCCCGGGGGCCCGCGAAAAGGCCCCGAGAGGCCCAACAACGGCGAAACAGCTCGGGATCCGTTTCCCCGAAGGCCCCCCCTTTTGTTCACCCCTGGCGAACAAGCGCGGCCCCGACCCTTTGCCCTCGGCACGCGTGGGCGCGTCAGCGCCCGGAATGCGTCGCCCCACGAAGAACGTCATCACTGGCACCTCGCTCTTTCCATGACGCCTGCTGCTCTCCTCGGCCGCATGACGGCCGCAGGGCGAGCCAAGACCGCCTCAAGACGGCTTCTAGATGCCCCGAGAAGAGCCCGAGGCACCTCGACGACCGCTCAAAGACTTCAAACGGTCCCAGAGGCCCAGCGAAGCCCCCGCGTCGCGCCCGAGGGGAGGTCTGGAGATGCCAGGCGCAAAGGGATGAAACACCTCACTAGTCGGGCGGGTGAAAATGGGGGGCGACCTAAAAGGGGGGCGGAGATAAGGACCCTAAAGAGAGCTCATTAGGACCCCTTTTGGAACCAGCAGAGGCCAAAAAGGAGCCCTAAAGGGCCCCAGTAAGATTGTTCTCGTTCGCCCCCCATGTAGGTCACTCCCCATTACTACCGGCCCGAACCTGTGCAAGTGAATGTCTCCCTGCCGGCACTGTTCTTCCCACATTGCCCCGGGCGAACATCAGATCAGAGGAACCCGCTCCCGTCCCGAATCGGGAAATGCTCCAACCAGGCGGGGCCACCTTTACATGACTGGGGAGGGAGAGGATGGGGAGGAGGGATGATGAACGGATACACGAGGGGCGGGGTGAAGAGAAATCGAGCAGGAGATCGGCTACAGATTTACCCCCAAATTGATGTCGAGCGTTCAGAACGGACGTGGAGAATGTCCGCACATCTCCAAACATTCTACGCCTCCTCTCTGTGCAGATCCGACGAACACATCAAGTCTGTGGCACAGCAATTCCGCAGCCGACCCCCCCCCCTCGACGCAGGGAGGAGGCCTGGCGGAAGCCCAGACCTCCGACGACTCGACTCCGCTCGCAGCGCCAGGCCCCCGCGGGCCTCTCGTCTCCCCGCCGGCCAGGGACCGCAGCGCCCTCGCCCCGAGGAGTCGCTCCCGGGGACGGCCGGGGCGGGTCGGCCCGGGACCGGCCCCCAGGCGCCGAGGACGACGCAGCGCCACCGGCGCGATGCTCTCGAGCCGCCAGGGGCTCTGGGGGGTCCCCCCTCTCTGGAAAGGCGCGTTCCGCTACTCGCAAATCAACTACTCGCAAATTGCCTGGAGTCGCCGCGGGGAGTCGCCGCGGGGGATATATCTATAAATCTATGTATATGTATATACACACATTACATATGTATATGTATATATATATACGCATTACATCGAGGTAGGCCAGTAGTGAAACGCGCTCGGCGACTGTCAGAGTCGACCCTCACCTATGACCTCTCCAGGGGTGAGCTCTGGCCAGGATTGCGAGCCTGCGCCCGCTGTGGCGGGGAGGGGGCCCCGGGAAGGGCCTGAGGCCGTCCGAGCCTCGAGCCCGGGTCTCTTTCTCGCAGCTGACGAGGAGGGGTGGCAAATTGTGGGGTTGCCGGATCAGCGGCATGCAGCTGGTTCTCCAGCGCCTTCCAGCGAAGAGGGCGGCCACGTGTCCGGGAAGTGGCCGGGAGGCGGGGCCAAAACCATCTACGTGCAGTAGTCTCCCTCCCCCCCTGCCTCCCCCTTCCCCTTGTGGCCTACCCCGATCATCAATCCCCTCCTCGATCCCGACCCTCGTCGGCTGCGAGCAACGGCTGCCAAAAGTAGACAAGGAGCGACATTGGGTGCGCGGGTGCGCGGCTTCACGGGGGGGCCCGCAAGCTGCTGCGATCGCATCGCGTCTAGTGATCGGGAGGACCCTACTGATCGGGGGACCCCAGTGGGCCCGCACCAAAGGCCACTCCGGCGAGAGGCCACTCGCAGTGTGGCCGACCTCGCCAGACCCCTGACGTCGTGTTGTCCTCGCAGCGTGCCCCCCCCAGAGATCTGAACCCCTGCTCGGCCAGAGGGGGGAGGGGGAGGGGGGCTTGTTGAGGCCCGCCGAGGACTGCCCGGGGGGGGGCTGTCTCTGCGCAACCGGGAGCCTCAGTGCCAAGCTCTCTTGGACTTCCGGCAAGCTCTCTGGGAGTTGGGCGTCGCAGGATGGGGGGGCGGTAAGGGGGTGGGGGAGAGAAGGTGCCCTTTCCGTGCCCTGCCTAGAGGCCCCCTTCTAGGCCCCACAGGCCCCTTCAGGGGCACGAAAAGGCCCCTGCAGCCCTCGCTGCCCCCCCGAGTCACCGCCCCCCCGTTGCGCACCCTCCGAGGGGGGGCCTGTGGAGGCCACCCGGGACTGCATGGGGGGGCCCTCTGCGTGCAGCACGAAACCCCACGGTCGGATCAGACCTGGGCCTACGCCCCCTCTCGGGATCTCCCTCCGTGGAACGGTCCTCTGGCGCCAAGATTCTCTCTCCCACAAATGGCATTCTGGAGCGATTCAGGATCGCCAAGACGGAACAGTCAGGTTAACTCGTGGCGTTGAACTCCTGATAATGGTGTTTTGGCACTCTTCAAATTGTTCGCATGGATGTCTCCAAACGGAACAATTCTCTCAGTGGAAATGTAGGGGCCTATGACTTGGAATATTGGAGGAAGGGTGCATTTTATTCAACAGCGGTGATGCGTCTTGGGTTTACTATGGTCATCCACCTCCTCGTCGTTTCCTCCTCCTCCTCCTCCTTATACTCCACCTCCTCCTCCTCCTTTCCTCCTCCTCCTGAGTCTGTTTCCTCTTCCTCCCCCTCCTCCTCCTCCTCCTCCACCTGCTCCCCCCCCTCCTCCTCCTCCTCCTCCTCCTCCTCCTCCTCCTCCTCCTCCTCCTCCTCCCCCTCCTCCCTCCTCCTCCTCCTACTCTACTACTACTACTACTCCTACTCCTCGTCCTCCTCCACCTCCTCCCTCCTCCTCCTCCTCTCTTCCTCCTCTTCCTCCTCCTCCTCCTCCTCCTCACCACCACCACCACCACCAGCAGCAGCATCAGCATCAGAGCATCAGCATCATCATCATCATCATCATCATCATCATCATCATCAGCATCATCATCATCATCATCATCATCATCATCATCATCATCATCATCATCATCATCATCATCATCATCATCATCATCATCATCATCATCATCAGCATCAGCATCAGCATCATCATCATCATCATCATCATCATCATCATCATCATCAGCATCATCATCATCATCATCATCATCATCATCATCATCATCATCATCAGGCATCATCATCATCATCATCATCATCATCATCTCTCATCATCAGCATCATCATCATCATCATCATCATCATCATCATCATCATCAGCAGCAGCATCATCATCAGCATCATCAGCATCATCATCAGCATCATCATCATCATCATCATCATTCATCATCTCATCATCATCATCATCATCATCATCATCATCATCATCATCATCCATCATCCATCACCATCACCATCACCATCACCATCACCATCACCATCACCATCACCATCACCATCACCATCACCATCACCATCACCATCACCATCATCATCATCATCAGCATCAGCATCAGCATCAGCATCAGCATCAGCATCAGCATCAGCATCAGCATCAGCATCAGCATCAGCATCAGCATCATCATCATCATCATCATCATCATCATCATCATCATCATCATCATCATCATCATTCCACTCCTCCTCCTCCCACTCCTCATCCTCTTTCTCCTTCTCCTCTTGCTCCTCCTCCTCCTCCCCCTCCTGCCCCTCCCCCTTATCGTCCTCCTCCTCGTCCTCCTCCTCATCCTCCTCCTACTCATCCTTCTCCTCGTCCTCCTCCTCGTCCTCCTCCTCATCCTTCTCGTCCTCCTCCTCCTCCTCCGCGTCCTCCTCCCCCTCCTCCTCCTCCTCCTCCTCCGCCTTCTCGTCCTCCTTCTCCTCCTCCTTCTGCTCCTCCTCCTCCTCCTCCCCGCCACAAAGTTTTGCAGACTGACTGACAGCAGGGGCTGGGGGTACCATTCGGACGGCGGGGTTCGTGTGTCATTGATATTGTTTGCAGATAACTTCTGGCTATTCGCATCGAGCCGCAAGCAGTTGGAAGATATGACGCAAGCATGGTTGGACATCCTTGCCGAGGCAGGCTGGGCTGTGCCGCTGGATGAAACCACTTGATGTTCGACGCATGATGACAATGTACCTGGCCAGGCGAACGTGCAAGGTACGAGATTGCGGCGGTCTGCGCGGAACGATGGTTTCAAAGTGCTCGGAACCATCGTCACCTTTGACAACTCTGATGAACTGGAATTACAGAACAGAGTCTCCAAGGCATGGAGGGCCTTCTACAAGTACAAACATTTACTCTGCTGCCGTGGGGCGCCTATCTGGGCGCGCTTGAAGCTCTTGCGTTCTCTGGTGTCTACGTCGCTCTTCTGGTGCAGTGGGAGCTGGAACCTGACTGTCAAGCAGACCTCGACACTGCGGGGGCTGCTCAGGAAGATGATGCCGCTCCGGAAGCATCTGGCGGAGTCGGCCGAAGCGCTCATGCAGCGAATCGGGCAGAGCATAAAGCGAGTGAAGGAAGACTTTGCATTCCGGGACTGGGACGAAACCTACTTCGAACACGTTTTCACATGGGCCGGTCACGTTGCACGCCTGGGCGACTACGACCGCGACCGGGTGACGCACAGGGTTCTGGAGCACAGAAACTACAACTGGATCCGGGACAGGGCCCAGCAAAACAAGGGCAACCAGATGCACGGACGCAAGGTCCGCGTCTTGAGGTGGGAGCACCGCGTGGACAAGCTCTTCAAACGTGGCGACTGGCAGGCCACAGCTCGCAGCAAGGCGGCCTGGAGGACACACCTTGAGAAGTTTCTCTCGCTCTGAGGGTAGTGCACACTGATCTTTTCTCACTCTGAAGGTAATCGTGCCGTAGCGTGTCTGCCGCGTGGTGCTGCTCTTGGAGCAGACACACGCTAAGCCTAAGCCTAAGCCGAAGCCTCCTCCTCCTCCTCCTTCTCGTCCTCCCCCTCCTCCTCCTCCTCCTCCTCCTCCTCCACCTGCTCCCCCTCCTCCTCCTCCTCCTCCTCCTCCTCCTCCTTCTTCGCCTCCTCCTCCTCCTCCTCCTCCTGCTCCTCCTCCTCGTCCCCGTCCTCCTCTTTCCCCTCCTCCTCCTCCTCCTCCTCCTCCTCCTCCTCCTCCTCCTCCTCCTCCTCCTCGGCCCTACTCCTCCCCAAGCCGCGATTCTGCTCGCGTCGCGAGGCCAGGCGGGTCCGGGCCGCCGTGCGGGGGAGATGCCGGGGAAGCGGGCCGCTGCCGCCCGGCGGGCGAGCCGAGGCGGCGGCGTGCCGGCGACGGGGCCCCTTGCCGGGGTCGCTCTTGCTGTCCTCGGACTGCAAATCCTCTCGGGCGAGCACGCCCGGCATCGGCTGGAAGCCCTCCCGTATTTTGGACGCCCGAAGTGGGTACGGAAAAAATGGGTACAATGCCCAACAACAAATGCTGTCCCAAACCAACAGCGGCCGCTGTTGGGCAGGCGGCCTCCTGTCTCGAATGGACACAGGCCGCGGCGGCGTGGAAAGCGAGTCCTGTTCAAAATGAACAGGAACTGCTGTCGGGCATCGTACCCATTCTTTCCGTGCCAATGTCGGGCGTCCAGAAGTATGTCGATGTCGAGCGAGGGGAAGAGGTGAGAAGGAGAAGGCCTTCTCGGGAGGCTCGGAAGTCCCCGAGCCTTCTGAGAAGCTCCCCAAGCCGTCCTCGAAGACACAGGAAACTGCTCAAAGGCGCGAGGGCTTCTGAAAGGTCCCGCCGCCTCCTGAGAAGACCTTCTCCTTCTGCCTTCCCCCCTAGCTCGCCGCCGAACATGCCCCGAGCGGATGGGGTCGGAGGATCGCGCCGCATCGGTAATGCATCGCCGACGTCGGCGACGTATCGGCGCCGTCGGCTTGGAGAACACCTGGCTCAACGCGCGATCCTCCGACCCCATCTGCTCTGATCCCACCTGGGAGGCCTGGAGAACTGGGTACGGAGAACATGGGCACCATGCCCAGCCGCAACCTTCATCTCATACCGACGGCAGCCGTTGTTGGCAAGGCGACTCGCTGCACCCGAGTGGCCAGCGCACGCGATGGCACAGAAGGCGTGCCCAGGCTTTAAGTGGACACGAGCTGCTGTCGGCCTTGAAGGGGCACAGGGACACACAAGTAACACGCAAATCCAAGGATTCCTTCTATGTTGGTTTAATGTGTTCTTGACTTTCGCCTTCCCTCCACTTTCCATTTTCTTAGATTTTCCTAGGGATTGATGATGACTGATGACTTGTGTCCTCTCCTCTCCTGAAGCCTACGTCCTCGTTTGGGTCGTTCGCTCTTGGGCGGCAGCCCCCCCACTCGCGCCGCCCCCTCCGCCTTGCAGCCAGAGGCGCGGCTCGGGCCCCGGCCGAAGGGTCGGGGAATGCCCGCCTGGGCTCGAGGGCGGCCCGTTGTCATCTTCGACGGCGTGGAACACTGGACACAGCGGGCCACCCCCCACCCGTGCCAGCTCTCGTCGGCGGCGAGGCAGACGGGCTGCTCCAGCGGGCTGGCCATCGGGGCGACCGATACGCTTAAGTGGCTGGCGTGCAAGAGGGAGGCACTGGGCAGACAGGGCGGCCGCGAAGGACGGGGGGGAGGGGAGGGCACACGCACGCGGAGGAATTCCGAGCTGAGTGCGCCCCACCCGCGGAACGGGCATGCAAAACCTTCTCTGTGACCATGGCTTTCGGAGACATCACAAGCGAGATAGCTCCGTGTGGCACAGGAGCCGCCCGAGACCCGTGCATTGCTTCATGTGGTGAGGCTTCGGGCCTATGAACTTGAGTCTGTCTCAAGCGGCAATAAGACAAATATGCACGGCGCTAAAACGAGAACAGCCGGTTGAGCAAGACTTGTCTCGATCCTTGTATGTGCGTGGCGCTAGGGCGAGAGCCAGACGTCGCCCTCCATCCTTGAAGCTGCTGCAAACCATCACGACGAATGTGCGGCGTGTTAGAGCGAGAGCTACCTTTCTGAAACACGCCTAACCATCAATGAAGCTGTTGCAGAACTGTCAGGAAGAATATGCGCGGCGCTAATGCGAGAGCAGCGACCCTCCCTCCATCTCTGAAAACGGCGCAAACTTTGAGGCGCAAGGGCGAGAGCTACATTCTGAACAGGAGCAGCCCTGCATCGTTGCAACTGTTGCTGCTGCACCCTTCTGGCACGAAGGTCAGCGACGCTGGGGCGAGGACCACACTTTCAAACACGGCCTGCCTCCATCCCTGAAGCTGCTGCAAAAGCTTTTGGCATGAATGTGCGCGGCGCCACGGCGAGAGCCCCGTTTGGAACCGGAGCCCCTCGTCATCCCTGAATATGCCACGCACGTTTGCGACGAATGCGCGCGGCGCAGAGGCGAGAGCCACATGCTGGATATTCCCCCCCTCCCTCCCTGAAGCTGTTCGCTGCAGACCCTGAAGTCGGACGTGCGCGGCTCCCAGGCGAGAGCACCCTGTTTGAGCACGTCCTGCTTTCCACCCTTGAGCATGTTGCACATGGCAAACTGCAGAGTGAAATGTCGAACTGCCGGCCCGCCCTACGGACACGTCTAGGGGTGCGGCATGGACTTGCTTATAAGGAGATGGGATGGAGGAACTGAGAGAAGGAAAAACATTAGGAAAAGCACCTGAAACTGAAGAAAGTGGAGGGGAAGGGGGGAGGAGGCGGAAGAGGAAGGGGAGGAAGGAGAAGGGAGCGGAGGGAACATGAGGATGACGAACTACAACAGGAGGAAGGAGGAGGACCTGTACGATGGGGATGTGATAGTGAAGATAATGAATATGCATAGTATGACGATTATGATGCTGATTATGATTATGATTATGACTATGATTATGATTATGATTATGATTATGATTATGATTATGATGATGATGATGATGATGATGATGATGATGATGATGATGATGATGATGATGATGATGATGATGATGGTGATGGTGATGGTGATGGTGATGGTGATGATGATGATGATGATGATGATGATGCTGCTGATGATGATGATGATAATGAGGAGGAGGAGGAGGGTGATGGTAAGTATACTGATGGTGCTGGTATTGGTTGGTGATGGATGTTGGATGGTGATTGGTGAAGATGGTGATCATGATAATGATGATAATACTGGTGATGCTGATTCTGAATATGAGTATGATGATGCTGATGATGCTAATGATGATAATGGTGGTGGTGGTGGTGATGATAATGGTGATGGTGATGACGAGGGAGAGGGAGAAACGCAACGAAGGAGGGAGGGAATAGGGAAGGGAAGGAAAAGGAGGGAGGGAGGAAGGAGCGGGGAGAGAGGAAGGAGAAGGAAGGAGGAGGAGGGGGAGGAGGGGGGGGAGGGAGAGAGGAGAGGGGGAGGCAGCACGGCGAAGGGGCCGCCGCCGTCGCCGGGGGTAGAACGCGCGGCCCACTCGGGCGGCCGCCCGGGCGGCCGAGAGGCGCTCCCGAAGCACCCGGGGGGGGGGGGAGGGGGGCACCCGGGGGCTCACGAGCGGCGAACGTACCTCGGGCGGGTGGCGCACCGACGGTCGGAAGACGCAGGTAGAACACATGAAGCAGGGAGGCGGATCGAGTGGACCGGGGGCCAGGCCCGCTCCGAGGCTCACAGAACGCAGCAAAAGCAGATCGGTTCTTGAAGTAGGGAGTCGCCTGATACTGATTGGAATCTGGAGATCTAATAGTACCTACTTTCAACAGACGGCGTGTCATGGGGGGGGGGGCCTAAATGAGGGAGGGGTGAAAGGGCCTGAAGAGGCCCTGTAGGGACCGGAGCCAAAAGGGGCCCTACGCCCTAAAAGACCCTTCTCGGGGCCCTTTGCTTCACGCTCCCATTTCGGCAACCCCCCATAACCACCCGCCCGAATATCCAGCATCCAATCCGCGCCCACGCGGTCTGGGTTCCGGGGCGCGATCCCCAGGGACCCAGTCGGGCTGATGAAAGAAGGATCGCTGATAGAAAAAACGAAGCCCCGACAGCGCCTGCGTGGTTGAGGAGCGCTACGGATACAGCCATGGAAGGACCCAAGGAACATCGAGCCCCTTCCGAATCCAAACTGTTTATCATTTCAGCATCTTGACTGTACGCGGTCTCACGGAGGTGTCCCGCGCGTGGCATCCGCGCAAAAGCGCCCCAGAGCCGCGGGGTCGCGGCGCAGCCCAGGCATCCCGCGCTCCACTTTTTTCGATGCGCAGACCCCCAGATGTCTGAACCTCTTCCTCAGTTGGTTCCGGGTAACATCGGTCTTTCATCATGGGGTCGCAAATAAAACATGGCATAATTCATTATGTGGCGCATGGCGCGTGGCAGCCACGTGCTGGTATTGTACGGCGTGCATGTCCCGCACGAACGATTGCACGTACTATTGCGTACATTTCCGAGACCCCCTTCGCAAAGGACCCATGCGCCCGAATCCGACTTATAGGGCCGGTTTTTAAGCCTGAATCGTTTTCTCACGAATCCGACGGCCCGGTAAGGATACCCGGAAGCCGAAAATTGCAAACAACAAAAAGTAAATTTCCAAATAGATATTAGCAAGTCTACTTGCATGGCAGGTTCTTGCCTCACAACTCTGAGCCGAAAAGGCGTGCAAGTGGGTACCGACTTGCGTGAAGTGTAGATTTCCTTCCAGGCCTCGCCACCCCCCCCTCCATGCAAGTAACCTTGATTGAGTCTTCATGAAGACGGACACAACTTTTGGCGGCCCGCCTGGGTGGAAAGTGACAAGGGGCAGGCCTTTTCAGAAGGCGGCGGGGCTTCTCAGAAGCCCTCGCGACCTCTGCGAAATGATCTGGGCCCTCTCCGAGGCCTCGGAACACTTCTCAAAAGACAAGAGGGCTTCTCAGAAGCCCCGCCGAAGTCTTAGAGGCCTCCTGGATGGGAGCCGAGTAGGTGGGGTCGGAGAATCGTGCCACATCGCCAATGCATCGTCGATGCATCGTCGGCGAGGCATCGGCGACGTCGGAGTGGAGAACATCGGGCTCCACATCGAGCCGCATCGCCGATGCATCGGCGCTGCAGCGCGATCCACCGATCCCATCTACTCGGACCCCATCTGGGAGGCCGAGAATTGGAGGTCCCAAAACCGAGTGTTGACAGACCCAGCGGTGACCTTGAAATCCGCAAAGACCTCACCGCAGGGTCCGTCAACACACGGTTTTGGGACCCTGGAGGCCCCAGTCGCCCGAGAGACATCCTCGGAGAATGATCCAAGTCCCAAAACCGTGCGGTGACCCCGAATCCCCACCGACTCACCGCACGGTGCGGTCGCCACCCCGCTTGGGTGCCCTCGATTAGATGCCTCCTAGATGCAGTCGGAGCAGATGGGTCGGAGGATCTCGCCGCATCA